TGCGACTGTGTGACCTAGTTTGTCGACCAGTTGTTGTATTCATTAAACAAATATCATCTAGAGATAATCTTTCTACAACTTCATAAAACAATTCGTCGATTCGTTCACCTTTTTAATTTTTTTTCATAACATTTGTTAAACACTCTATGTCATTCAGTACCATGCTGAGACCATCAAGAACGTCCGTGAGGCAACCGAGAGCTTTGTTCCTGGATCTGCTGACTACAGACCAGTGGCCATCGCTCTGGACACCAAGGGACCAGAAATCAGGACCGGCCTCATCAAGGGCGTGAGTTCTTGTCAAATAACAAAGGCTCCAAAGAGGCCATTTTCAATTTATTGCATATAATCATGAGGTTTCATGCAGCAATTTTCCACTAGAGAACAAACATGCTTTCCCTTCCTGCTCTTGTTTAGAGCGGCACTGAGGAGGTTGAGCTCAAGAAGGGAGAAATGATCAAGCTCACCCTGAACGACCAGTTCATGGAGAATTGTGACGAGAAAACTCTGTGGATCGACTACAAGAACATCACCAAGGTTGTGCAGGCTGGATGCCACATCTACATTGATGATGGTCTTATTTCCCTCATGGTTAAGGAAGTTGGTAAGCACACAAACAACCATCTTTTTGGTTCATATTGTCTGTCTTTTATGCAGATTTTGCATTCACCTTTCTGCTTAATGGTGGAAAATAAAATACACTTCACTCTGTGTGTCCTAAGGCGCCGACTTCCTGATGTGCAGCATTGAGAATGGCGGTACTCTTGGAAGCAAGAAGGGCATCAACCTGCCTGGAGCTGCCGTCGACCTGCCTGCTCTGTCTGAGAAGGACCTTCAGGACCTGCAGTTTGGCGTGGAGCAGGGTGTGGACATGGTGTTCGCCTCTTTCATCCGCAAGGCTGCTGATGTTCAAGCCGTCAGGAAAGCTCTTGGTGAGAAGGGTAAGGACATCAAGATCATCAGCAAGCTGGAGAACCACGAGGGTGTGCGCAGGTGGGCAGGATGCAAGCAGTCTCAATTTCCCCAATCTGAAACTTTGGAGAACTTTTAAGCTGATTTGTTTTGCTTTTTGTCTGATAGATTCGATGAGATCCTGGAGGCTAGCGATGGCATCATGGTTGCCCGTGGTGACCTGGGCATTGAAATCCCAACAGAAAAAGTCTTCCTCGCCCAGAAGATGATGACTGGCAGGTGCATGAGAGTCGGAAAGCCCATCACCTGTGCCACACAGGTCTGTGACATCAGTAGGACAACTGTTCTTTGGAAATCAAATTAAAAAGAAAAGTGTATCAATGAGTCTTTTTTCTGATCAGATGCTGGAGAGCATGACCAAGAAACCCCGCCCCACTCGCGCTGAGGCCAGTGATGTCGCCAATGCTGTCCTGGACGGCAACGACTGCATCATGCTGAGCGGTGAGACCGCCAAGGGAGAATATCCCCTGGATGCCGTCCGCATGCAGCACAGGGTAAGAGAGCCATTGATTGGTCCTATTTCGTTAGTGTTGTATTGTGTGTTAAATAGCAGCATATGTCATAGTATTGTTAACAGTGCTTCTGCACGTTTTGTTCAGCTGTTGTAACTGCACTTGCAGAGTGTTGATCTGTTCATGTGATTGAGGCTGTTAGAAGGCCTCCATTAAAAGCTCTCTTCACTGTGTGGCATGTGGTACATCACGGTTCATTGGGAAAACTCTGACATCTTGGTGTTGAGAGTATAGCTGCCAAACCATAATGTAGTACAATGACTAAACTACCAAATACACAAGATCAAGCAATATATAATAATGTATAGCTTATCACTCTTTGACCTGAAGTTTTCTTCTTGTGTTTAACAGAGAAAATATAACAATGAGGAATTCTTCTTAAGAGGAATTTTGCCCTTAGCCGCTTTCACACCAAGTACTTTGCCGTACTTAGTGCCGGCACTTAGTACCAATCGCGTTCACACCGGAGTACTTTTCCCTGAGAGAAGATTACGCAAATGAGCCGCTGACGTCACTTCGTCTTCTTCTGGCCGCAAACAACTTCACGGCGTATACTGCCACCCGAAGTCCCCGGCCGGAAGTCCCCAGAGTTGGGGACTGGCTTCAGCAGAAGCTGCTGGGTCTACTGAAGCCTTCCGAGTAAATCGCCAGAACACCTACACCTCCTCATCACTCCACCGCTCCCATGTTTTTTTGTTGTGTTGCCATAAGTTATTCTTTCTCCATTTTTGCGCGGGCTAATGCTAATGCTAATGCCAGCGAATACAATGGGCCATAAGTTATTCTCTCTGCGTTTGTGCGCTGGGCGAATGCTAATAATGCTAATGCGAGGATAATAAAATGGCGGCTCTCCAAAACATTTCAGAGTTTTACGGGGCGTGGTTTGTAATTCGCCCAGCCAATCAGAACTGAGCCACTTTTTCCCCCCAGGAGAGTACCACCTCTCAGCAGGAACTAAAAATGGGGGTAAAAGTTCCCGGCACTAAGTACTCTTTTTGGTGTGAACGCGACATAAGGGGTACTAACGGAACTAAACGGGAAAAGTACGGGGAAAAGTACTCCGGTGTGAACGCGCCTATTGTAATATCAAATTGGTCTTATTTGCTCAAGGTTCCCCAAATGTGCATGATCAAAGTCATGAAGAAGTAACAATTTAACAACACATTGATAAAAACTGTTAACGAAATGTACTTCTTGCAACAGTAAATGTAAAGAAAGTGAAGATAACATTTTCTTTGTGGTGAGAGTATTATTTTCTAAAAGATGAAGAATTAAGAGACAAGTAGCTTTCAGATTGTGAGCACATCATTGGCACCAGCTTGGATTTGACTAACAGCTTGTTTAGTATTTGTTCAACTTGCTTTGTGTTTCCCTGTTGCACCTCCCCTCCCTCTGTCCATCTGCTTTCTGTGTGTGTTCATATTACTCAATTAGCATGTGTCTGAAGATCTGCAATGCACAGCAGTCCCTGGACATCATGGCCGTCGCTGTTGTTTAGCTTCATGTCTCAGTGTGCTTTCAGGTATGAATACCTCTGCACTGTAGTTGAATACCCCTTTGTTTTGTTTTGCTTTAAAGTACAAACTAACTCCTGCAGCGTAAACCGGCTGTTTGACTGCAGCCTGACAGTTTATTTTCACGTGTTAAGATTGCCCGTGAAGCCGAGGCAGCCATGTTCCACAGACAGATGTTTGAGGAGCTGCGTCGCACCACTCATCTGACCCGTGACCCCACAGAGACCGTCGCCATCGGTGCCGTCGAGGCCTCCTTCAAGTGCTGTGCCAGCGCCATCATCGTGCTCACCAAGTCTGGCAGGTGAGACGCAAAGAAAAAGTCCCTCCTGTAAATCTCCTCTGTAAGGCTCAGACTCATATTCATACACGGCGCTCACTGAGAGCAAAGGAAGAGGTGCATTGTAACATATCTCCCGCCTCCCTCCCGAACAGAAGCCCTCTGCTCATATGAAGTGTGCCAAATATCACGGCATGCACAATCTGTGCTCCACTTTTGACCTTCTGAGTTACGAACCCTGACATTCATAAAGCTAATTTTAACTCCCTCAACATTCCTGTCCAAACGGGAGTTCATCCCCCCAACACATGATGCAGAAGGCGTATTACTGACAGCTGGGTGGATTTATTCATTATAAGGGTTTATAATTAATATTTCCATGACAACAATGGATCACAGGACTAATTTCAGCTTATTGTTTTTAGCAAGCCTGTTCTGCTTCGCTTCTCAGGAGCTGAAAGATAATTATTTTTGGACAGTAGGAGAGGAAAAATACTATAAGCAAATAATAATGTTAGCTAGTAAGCTGCTGGATGTGAAATGCCGACAGTTTTCTAGTTTCAAGTTCACCATATCAACCAAAACCATTAAAATATGTCAATGGTGAAGTTCTTTCTTGTTTCCACTCACCTTGTGGCCAGAGCAAAATATATTGCAGGTCTAGGTTTTTTCGCATTTCTTATTGGGGTTGAAATGTCTAAATCTGCAGTTATACATTTTGTATTCATTTATTTTCAGGTCCGCTCAAATGCTGTCGAGGTACAGGCCCCGTGCCCCCATCCTGGCCGTGACCCGCTGTGGCACAACCGCCCGCCAGGCCCACCTGTACCGCGGTATCTACCCCCTGCTCTACACCAAGCCCGCCAACGACGTCTGGGCCGAGGATGTTGACCTGCGTGTGAACTTTGCCCTGGAAGTTGGTGAGTAGTGATGTTTATTTTGCAGTTAGGTAAACGATTAAAAAGGGCAGAGCAGGGCTTTATATTTAACCAACTGAATCCTTATTTTTCCATTAATGCTCCTCTTTTCTCTTTCTGTAGGCAAGCACCAGAAGTTCTTCAAGGCCGGTGATGTCGCCATTGTTGTGACTGGCTGGCGCCCAGGTACCGGTTACACCAACACCATGAGAATCGTGCTGGTGCCTTGAAACTTCATCAACAGACATTAGTAACCGCTCCCCATCCCCTCTTCTGTAACCTGCCTCCCCCCTGTGTCGGACTTTTCGTTTCTGTTGGTCTTCATCACTAACAGAAATGCAAAACAAGGCCGCTCCAAAAAAAAAGGACTCTTGATTACAGACATTAACTCCCAGATTCCAGTCATCCTTTTGTGTAATTTATTGTCCAAACCCTGCTGCCGGAGACCAAACTCTAAACCATTATAGTGGAAACTCTTCTGTCAAGCGTGTGCCTGCATGTTGAACAGAGTGGAAATAAGCGTTCCTCTGCATGCACTGTAAAGTAGGCTAAACTTTTAGTAATTTCCTTGGTTTTTCATTCTTTAATTATCCAAGGTTATGTACTGCTATTGTCTTCTCCAGTGTATCATGCTTGTTGGTAAAAAGTGCCATTGTGATCAGGCATGACCAGGTTCCTTTCCATTAAAATGAATTATTGGGTCAACTGTGTTTGTTTTCCTCTCATAATAGGTCTCACACCAAACTGAAACAAATGTTTCAGTGATAAAGATTTTTCTTTTTCTAAGGTGGGCAATTGTATGCCTTAAACATTAGATGGCGCCAGTGGGGAGATGACAGGAATCACGGGACGGATACTAAAACGAGGGAAATTATTTCAGAGGAATAAAAAGGAGGAATACAAGAAAAACTCTATTGTAGTGAACATTAGCATAAATAAATACCTAAAGGACAAGTCAGTGCTATATGGACTGTATTTTTAAATAAGCATCACACTGGCAATGGTGAAGCTAGTAAATTGGGTAAAGCTATAAATTATACTTTCTTTTATAAATCATCATTAATTATTTGTTGATTATATTTAGTATAATACATCTCAATCTGCAAAATACCAGTAATTAACATTATCAACTATTTGTAGTGAGGTTAATATGTCCCTCTGAAGTAGTGAAGTAGAAGTATAAAGAATCGGAAAATGAATATACTAAATTAAAGTAACTCAAAATGTGCACACTAACTGCGTACTACAAAATGACGCCATCTTGTGAAGTTGTAACAGGACATTTAACATCGGGTCTGTCCTTTTCTTGAATGTCATTAAAAAAAAAACATTTGTCTGGATCTCATTTTAATAAAACCTCCAGAAGAATGGGGTCAAATTTATATTTAATCACTAATCCAGCATTTACCAACTTGATGAACATGGCAGATACTTTTCCTTGTTCTGGCAAGAAAAATATCTGGCAGATTACAATCCGGGTTATTTTGACTGTTAGCACTGAACAACACCGTGCAGTTGTCCATTTATAATCCGGCTTAAAGTCTGAAACTTCCCCAGTGTTTTATCAGATTCTCCTCACATCCCACGCTCTGCTCTTGAAAAATAAATCAACAGCTAGGACGAGCATCGTTGACCATATGGTATTTTATTGCATTGAATTCAGTAACTAAAATAAAATATATACCTAACATACATAGGTGGTGGAATCCTCAGATTTGTTGGTTAAAAGGCATCAAAATGAGAAATAAATATATAAATAGATGAATGACTGACACCTTCTTTCCTACACACACCTTTAGGTCGGTTGCAACCCTACACTCAGGTGGTGTGGGCGTGGAGGAGAATAGTGATGAGGGATTGATCGAGCCCATTGGCAGTGAGTGGTTAGTGACGGATAGTATCTCTTCTCCCTCGAGGAGTGGGGGGGTCAGAGTCACTGCAAACCTCAGGGTCAGTAACCAGGCAGCTGAAGCCACTCGGCACGATCCTCTGATGCTTTGACCTGCTCACAGCTCCACACAGAGAAAGAGAACGTATCATCTAAACACATGAAATGATTAACAAGTAGAAGGATTCAAGAGTCCGATTTAAAAAAAATCAGTCAGTGATACACGTCTTGTTGATGCAGCATAGCATCACAGAGCAATTGTTCAACAACAAACCTTACAATCAATTAAAAGTAAAATGAAAGCGGTAAATATGCAGCAATATGACCCATCAGGGTTTCTTGTCAACCACGTGTCCAAGTAACTGCTTTTTAGCCCTTTGACTGGTGCAAGAAACACTCGGATCAGTCTTAGTGCATTGCTGGTTTCAGGATGTTTGATTATCCACAATTGCTTTGATTCCATGTAATTCCCTTTTTTAATCTGTTTTCATACTAAAAACAGAACCTCACTCAAGTGCTTCGATTCACAGTACCTTTGTATACCCATAGAAAAACACAGATTATTGCATACTATGCTGATGACACTCAAACAACTGTTCTCTACTGAAGTTATTGTCTGGCAGGAATGAGTTGGCATCAGTGTATTTGGAAATTGTCTAAAACGGGTGACACTTTCCAGGACTGTACAGAAAAACCATCATCGCCCTCGAGTTCAACACATTCAAAAATGTGAACCGCTTCTTGCACTCAGACAGACAAACATTACATGCATTCATTACTTCAGTTTTTGAGAGTGTGATCTGATTTGTTTATGACCCATTTTGGGTGTGCAATATTGCTGAAACGCTATCTTGGAAGACATGCTGTCATCACGTTAGGTGATCTCTGAAACGAGCAAAGTGCACAGTCTGTCTCTCCTCGAACCTCTTGGAAACTTTGCATTCACACAACACACTCGTTGGTGGAAAAGACATAAAAAAGGACAATCATTTTTGATTTTCAACCATAACAGGATAAAGTTTTGGACAAATTTCCAACTAAACAGGTGTTGCTAAAAGGTAACACAAAATGTTCTGGACAGTGGGTTAAAAACTAAATACTTAAAACACAGAGTGTGGTTATTATACAATACATATAACAATTGATATTTTCATGAGCTGCTATATATACCTATCAATAGGTTTTGTATTTTATTACTATATTCAAAGATATCCTGTAGAAAAAATACCCATAATTGTCCATTCAGTCTGATTACAAATGTAACCACCGGCCTCCAATTTGATAAGAATAACACACCCTCCTTCTTTAAAGTAGTGGATAAATCAATGCCTTAAGGAGGTGACCTTCATTGTGTCCGGGCATTAAAGGAGGGTGTGTCCGAACCTCACAAGTTGGATGGAAGTGTGGACTGTTTGTGTTCGGTCTCCATCATTTTAGCAGGGGATCTAGCATGGGGAGAAAGAACAGCAGGAGGCTGGATCTGAGGTTCGGGCCCTGAATGTGTCCGAATGACAGGAGCAGCTTGACCCGGGATCGGGCTGTATGGTTTACTGACAGCCATGGGGGAGGAGAAGGGGCTGGAGACCCCCACCACCGCCTCTGGGGAGCAGCTCATGGCCAAAGGTCTTTCCTGGTGTGTGGAGCTGTGAGAGCCTGAGATAGTCTTTATTTCCTGGGTGAAGACATTCCCCGAGTACTCGGCCCCGTCTGTGATGGTGTAGGCCACCCGGGCAGGACAGGAGGTCTGAGGGGTCAGAGGGCTGCGAGCCCCCACAGCGCTGGGGAGCTCAATGTTGTAAAATGTCCGTCCCATGGCGGGGCTCTGTATGCTGGGGCTGTGGACCGGAGGCGTGTAGCAGGGCGAGACTTCACCAGAGCCGTACTGAGCCAGGGAGGCCAGGGCCGAATGCTCGGGGAGAAACTGGGGGAGGAAAACAGACTGCAGGCCTGCGAGGCTCTGATGCGCCAGGGAGGCTGCGGCCCCCCCTCCGACTGCTGACACTGGATGCATAAATCCAGCGAAGGACTGAGTGCTGGGGATGAAAGGGAGATGTGAGAGGTACGGACCGCTGGACATCCTGAACGCTCTGTCGTGAGCGAACCCCATCTGCTGCGTGCCGTGTGAGGGCGGCTGCAGCTGGCTGATTAATGGGCCCACTGAGCTGCAGATGAGAGGGCTTATGGTGGAGGCAGAGGGGGCTGCGAACCTCCCTGAAAACCTCCCTGGTGCCCCCTGCTGGAGTAAACCTATGGGGTGTGGTGAGGTGGTCATGACCCCGTGGAAGGGCTGAGGGTGGAGCTGAGCAGAGCAGGTGTAGGAGACGGTGGTCTGGCTCATGGGGAACACTGAGGCTATGCCAGAGTGGGGAGGATGGAGCGGGAGCTGGTGTGAGGGCGGGGGGGCCAGAGGCTGCAGGCTGCTGGTGAAGATGGGCTGGGACGTCAGGGTGGGGGTCACGGACCCCGCGATGAGGTGCTGCGGCCTGAGGGACGCCAGAGGGGGAGTCTCAATCCCAGATCTGTAATTGATGGAGCTGGAAGGAGAACCAGGGACATAGCTACTGGACGTGTTGGCTCCGATGTGGACTATCTTCTGATGGAACGACGGGTCCTTCAGGGGAGCGGGGGTCAGAGGATGGTGGAAGAGGATGGGGGGCAGCTGGGAGTGGTGGGCCAAGGCCAGGGCCAGAGGGGTGGTGGTGGCAGCAGCCTGGAGCGGGGCCTGGATCAGCGGGGCCCAGATGACCGGGGTGGGCGAGGGGGGGGGCGGGCAGAGTGTGTTGGCTCTGTAGGCTGCCCTGGATCAGCTGTGTGCATTGGGCCATGTCGCGGTCGTGCTGCACGATTCTTTGGATGATCTCCGTTTCCTGGAAGTTTAGTGCGCCAGCAGATTGGTGATGCTGGACTTTACTCTGAAGAATAGAGTTCCTCTTACCTGTTTAGAAAATATAAATAATGTCATGCAATTTGTATTTCATGGATAAGCACACATTTAAGCCTACTTCTGTTGGATGATATTTTGTCCCAGAAATAATTACGATAAACTGCGTTACTGTATTTTCAAGAACAATTTGGGACATATCTATATATCAGCAACCATCTTACATGGATGTTCAGTTCGTATGTCAACATTAAAGAACAATGTAGCTGAAACTGTAAAGACAGTGTAATCCATCCTTAGTACAGAGGATTAATCTGTCGTTTAAAATAATGCCATTTTCAGATAATCAGAATCGGCCAATTATTAATTAATTATAGAATTATGTAACACCAGGCCACTAAGATTGTTTTTTAAATATTAATATTTGTAGAAACTTGTCCGTTTTATTTTGCTGCTTTAGTAAAGCACTTTGTAATGTAGATGCTAAAAAAGAGCTAGATAAATAAAGATTATTATTATTAATAAATGTTGGATCCTGTTTTTTAATTGAAGACCCTACATCACATGTTCTGTCAGAAGATGCCAGCGCCATCACTGCAGCTTTGTACAACCCAAATCAAATGTATAGAAACATTTTATTATTGTTAAAACTACATAAGCATTACAAATAATATAAAGTGAAATATCAACATTTAATATAAAATATTTAAATGTATAACATTAAATTGGCTCCTATACACAGCTTTTCTCTCTTGACTCACCGATGCGGTCCAGGCGGTCGAGGGCCACGGTCTCGAAGGCCCTCCTCATCATGGGGTACTCCTCCAGCACCTCGTCGAAGTTATCCACCGACAGAGAGTACAGCCGGCAGTAGTTATTCGCTCGCACGCTGGCCGTCCTCCGACCTCGGGTCAGCAGGCAGATCTCTGCAGGGAGGGGGGGAAAGAAGATTAATTAATTGTACAATTTCACTCACATTCAAATGCATGTCAGAAAAAAAGATCAACAATTTAATAATACATATCAATGTTGTATGATAATATCCTTATACAAGTTGTGTGAAACATTAAAAACAAATGAATATTATTTAGATCAAAAAAAGGAAAGGCTCGATCTGTATTATTAGTGTGAGATGATAAAACATGAAAGGACTGATGTCTCTGAACCCCACAGATGGAGCACTTAATGCAATTTCTGCAGCTTACAGTTTGTCCTGACCTTATCTGTCGTGCCAGATCAGAAAAATAAAATAATGCGACATTTAAAAAAAAAAAAAAGTAGACATATTATTCAGGACAGACATATTGAGGATATAGACACAAACACACACACACACACAGACTCACATGCTCTCTCTCTTAAACACATTTCCTGCACTCTTTAATTTATTATTTTCACATCTGTCTGTGTTCAGCTCTGTGGAGTAGCTTCAAGCCGAAATATAAAATGTATTCTGGGATAAACATTTAATAAAAAATTCTTAGAAATAATTGTCAGATTACACTGCATTCAATCCCAATAAGATTGCGGTAGAGTGAGTTACACATTCATATTTCCAAGACGTCGTATCAAGGGCATTCATAAATTAGATATTCAGGATTTCAGTTTTAAATATGGCGGAAACAAAAAGGGGAAACCCCCACCGATGGAATCAAAGATCCTAAAGCTCTGCTCCTCTTAGAGCCCTTTTAAGGAGATGATGTGGACAATTTTTACCAGCTGTAATAGTCAGAGAACTTAATCTGCTGAGTGCCAGAGCCAAATAAATCAAAACAAATCATACTATCAGCGCTCACATACATTTGAACGGACTCAGTGCCAGCTGCAGAACATATCAGCATGCAGTCCACACAGTGTGCAGACATTACCTCCAAAATAGGAGCCGTCGGACAGCTTGGTGTCTGAGGGCTGGACCCCGCAGATGATGCTGCTCGTGGTGAGGACGCTGACCACGCCGTGCTGGATGAAGTACATCTTCTTTCCGATGGTTCCCTCTCTGATGATGTAGTCGCTCGGCTGGAAGACCTCAAAGTGCAGCTTTGTCAGCATGGAGGTGACAAAATTAGGATCAGCGTTGGCAAACAGAGGCATGGAGGCCACCAGTTTACGACAGTTGAAGTTGATAATCTCCTGCAGAAGACAACAAAATTAAAGATTTCAGCTTTCATAACACAACTGTCATTGTGACTACATGTGTACGTTTCAATCATTATAAAAGCAGAGCAGTTTACGGCTTAGTGCTCCGTTAATGAGGTTCTCTGTCCTCATAAAAGGCTCCAGCCATTACTAATCAGATTACATGACTGCTAACATTATCGTGCTAAGTAAGGGAGCCATATTAGGTTGCATAAATAATTAACTGTAAACCGTTTAGAGCAAGGATGCTCACTTCATTAATTCAATTAATTGCAGTTGAGAAAACCTTTAAAAAATAACTGAAGAAATAAAAAAATAAAAAGGAGGAATGGCTCTTCTATTTAATAGACATTGTAGCATTGTAGAAACATTTAATAAATGGTTTATAATGGACGATATTGTAGTTGTAAGCAAGTATAAGGATTTAAAAAAAAAATCATATACAGTACCATTACAACTATCTGTTAAAAGACTAGCCTACTTTTAATGCTGCACACAGGAGTTTTATTTGTCAAGAAAAACATTCATGAATACTTTTATCTGCTGATATCTACACTAATGTGTGTTATAAACAATTCATTTATATACATATATTGCTTATAATTTGTCACGTATTTTTATTTTAGTTGTGAAACGTGTTAACGCCAACGTTATGATGACTCAGCTTAGCGTGATGGGATATACTGTATGAACAAATGTTGTCATAATTATCTTGGCCTTAAAATTGCACTAAAACATACTGGAATCATCCAGTAACTGCATCATTTTACCTCCAATTTTATAAAGACAAATATAAAAAATATAAGTTTTCCAGTATTAATTACTGAATAAATCAAAATAGCAGCATTGTGTGAGTTTGTTCTTTTTTACAGTTTAATTCATGTATGTTTTGAATGAGAAATTATAATTTCTTTCTCCGCCATGATGGAGAGCTACATAGCTTGTTTGGTAACACTTTACGGTAAGGGAACATGAATCATCATGAATTCATGAATGACTTCATGCATGAAAAAGCATGAATTCATTCATGTAGTACTTCATGAACTATCAGTAATGTACAGGTATTAATGGTATCTCATGCATGACTTAATGCAGGAACAATACCTTAATGAATGCATCAACTAAGGTATCTCAATCATCATGACTTCTGAGTTATTAATGATGTTCATGTCTTCTTCATATAGATCTGCAGTTAAAGGGTCAGGCCAAAAAACTGACCAGTCACAGCAATTCCAAGTGTTGTAATCATGATTAACTAAGCATGACTTTGTCATCACTTCATCATGTTTGTGCCCCTTCAAATAAAGTGGTGACCTGTTCCATCGTTTACATTGATAAACGTCAACACACTGAACAGGGTTGGGGTCAACACTTTGAATTCAACAGAATACATGCACTGCTATGACCGACCGACCGGGTCACCACTTTATTTGAAGGGGCACAAACATGATGAAGTGATGACAAAGTCATGCTTAGTTAATCATGATTACAACACTTGGAATTGCTGTGACTGGTAAGTTTTTTGGCCTGACACTTTAATTGCAGATCTATATGAAAAAGACATGAACATCATTAATAACTCAGAAGTCATGATGATTGAGATACCTTAGTTGATGCATTCATTAAGGTATTGTTCCTGCATTAAGTCATGCATGAGATACCATTAATACCTGTACATTACTGATAGTTCATGAGTACTACATGAATGAATTCATGCTTTTTCATGCATTAAGTAATGCATGAATTCATGATGATTCATGTACCCTTACCGTAAAGTGTGCTTGGGTAAGACCCCTCTGAGGATATTCATGATTATCCTAATATTAGGGATTCCTTTTTTTTAGATCAACAATATAATCCCTTATTGTTCCCCCTTCATAGACTCAGCAGTCTTTTCATCAAGACAACCACCAGGCAGATGATTCTGACCTCTCTTAGTGGCTCGTTCAGCTCCTCCATGATGCTCTCCTCGTCAAACATCTTGCCCTGGTATCGGTGTTCGTAATACTCGTGGATCCTCTGGCGCATGTCGGCAGGGAGCTTGTGGAAGGACATGTACTGCTCCACTTGCTTATACTGCAAAAACAAGTCAGATTATCACAGTTATTGAAATATAATAAGTGTATATTCAAAGTATTTAAGTGAACAACCCTCCCAGAAATGCACGTAACTGTAATGTAGGTGCAAGAAAAAACGCTAAATCATGTCAAAATGAGGGTATTAGAGTGATTGATGTGTTGGCTCAGAGGAGGAGTATAATGTGTCTAATTATGTTAACAGTCAACTGTCAGGCCATCTGTGAAACCTGCCCACAGAGCGATGCTGTGCCTCTGTCCCATCTGACAAATACAGTGGTGCTCTGCAGGCTGCAGCTAATAACATTAACTGCTGTGTCCTTCAGCCGTGTTCTCCAGCAGCAAAGCACTAGTCTGTGTCCTGCTGTAAGTCCCTGTTTTGCTTTTATCAACCAGCTCTTTAACTCTCTCCCTATATTTCCCCTTTATCTCTGTTAAGAATCCATAATGGCAGCTCAGAAATCCTTCCCTAAACACTCTCATATGTGTTGTATCCCTTCTCATTTATTTGTAATCTCCCTCTGTGGGGCATTTCTCACTTAAATGTCTAAAGATGCAGAACAAGTGTTCACACAAATGACATCCTCATCACATTAGTTTTTTCATCAGTCTGGAATAAGTATTGAGACGCTTTACAAGCTGCACGTACATTTACACGTAGAGTTACTCGAGTTAAAATCCTACATTCAAAATGTGACTCAAGGCAAAGTAAAAAAGTACTTCAGCTAATTATACTATAAGAAGTACTAATTATGCAGAACAATTGCCCATGTGACTGTTGTAATGTATACAATTGTACTATTAGTACTCATTTGATAATGTGTACTAATAGTACACAATGTACTGTACTGTACAGCAATGTACTGATGCAGGAGCCAATTTTCACAAATGTGTACTGGTAAGTAGTTTAATCTGATTATCAGATTATATAAATGTATGATATGTTCTGTATAAAAAATGCAATCTCAAAAGTGAGGTAAGCTATTTTAAAAATGTACTACATTACTAAATACTCCTGAAAAGTAAGTACCTCAAAGTACTTGAGTTTGGTATTTCTGTAAATATCCTTCCACTACTTAATTTGACCATTGTAGACCTGAAGAAAGTAGATTGGATCAGCCATGCAGAGAACAAACACCCACCTTCTCCTGGTACTGCCTCCGTGAGGAGTCCAGGGACTGGATGAGGGCAGTGGCGTGGCCCACGAACATGGCGAAGCAGGTCGCGCCCACGATCATGCTGAGGATGGTGAGCCACACGTCAGCCATGCCGATGGGGGGGTACAGGCCGTACCCGATGCACAGCATGTGGCTCATGGCCTTGAACAGGGCGTAGGAGTACTGCTGACCCCAGGTGTCATTCTGTAGGAGACAAAGAGGAGGAAAGTGTATCACCTCAACATAAACGCTGCAGCACAACTTTGTGAACCGATCCACAGTTTAAGATGAAGACCAGCGGTGATGACTCATTTATTTTCCAGGTTTGTTGGCGGTGAAGCCTGCTGAGGAGCTAAGAAAATATCACCTTGTAATATGCATGCTGATTTATCCACTTGCACACCTGCCCTAGATTATTCTCTGATGCCTACTTCAGTTATCAGTATATCTATTATTATATTCTGTACTCAGAGGGAATGTTAATATAGTTTATGTCTAAATATTTGAAACCATGAATAATTATGGCTGCAACAGAAGATTATTTTCAAAATAGTTTATTCTGCCAATTTTAACTCTAGTATTCATTTGTTGGGTCTAAGTGTCAGACAATTCTGAAAAATGTTTCTTCTAATATCTTATTTAACGAAAATATTCAAATGTGTACTTTTGAGAGCCTTAAACCAAGGACTGTTGGCAAATTTCATTAAGAAATAATAATTAATATTTATACAATTGTTGCCACTTAATTTGTTGTCTATCAGTTGATCGAACTGTGGCAGCCTAAATATGATTGTGTGGTTTTAAAGGCAATACAAATGGGGCTTTAATGGTTAAGCATTTCTATATATCAAATATCCATGACTAAATTGGAAAGTTAAAATGAAATTTGGGGGGATTTTAATGTTCAAAACCTCAGTTATTCTGCTTCATCATCACAAAGTGGGTGTTGAACGGATTCGATTGCCACTGACCAAATAACCACAATAACTGTCCTCCAAAAGATTTAAATCTTGATAAATCCTGATCGGTGCATGGAAATATCTGAGATCATATTTTTTCAGCTGAAACACACCGACTTGCTATCAGGAAAAAGACCAAGGTAAAAGTAAAAAATATTGTAAATTATCAACTAAAACTGTTCTAACTTTGTCAGAAGAGCCTGTGTTCATGCAGGAGCCCATCAGTCATAATGCACCTACCACCATCTTGTTCCTGGTGACCCAGCAGTCGTGGGGGAAGTCCTGCAGCATGGGGACCAGGAACTGCAGACAGCCATCCCAGTGGCACAGCAGCAGCATCATACCGATCAGGTTCATGATGCGCACCATGGCACTGGCCAGGTCATAGGTCATATGGAAAACCTGTTACAGAGATTATCAGCATTAATAAAACTAAAACAGTGAAACAGATAAATCTATGAAATTTCAATTCTCTCATCATGCAATCAGAGGATTTAAAATATACAATAGATGTTCTGTGAGCCAATGGACACGGGGGTCCTTTACCAGGCCACACTGTTCTTAATCTTCTATATTCCACATTAGGCTGTTTCCCTGTTGCGTAATCATCTGCAAGCAACATTAATGGGCTCTGGGGAATGCAGCCTCAGTTGGAATTATAAAAATAAAATAATGCAGGGAAATAGATTACGTCATTTGATTGTGTGTGAGCCTTAGAGGGGAACCAACAAATGTACTCTAGAGCATTAAGAATGTGTACTTTTGTTTTTAAAATACGCAGTATCATGATTTTCCATGACAGAAAAAATATGTGGTAATCCAGACAAGGCTACAAGTTAGCAGAAATCTGCTAATGCGAGGGGATCTCCCCGTGAAAAGCACTTCTGTCAGGGGAACATTTGAGATTAAAGCTGCAAATAATGATTACTTTCATAAATGATTATCTGTTTGTTCTGTGAAATCTCAGAAATGGCCATCACTTGTTCTCTGAACATGAGCAGAGTGTCTTTAAATCACTTGTTTTGCACAACCAGCGTTTAAAAACCCAAAGATATTCAATTAAATATTGTAATAAACATAACATATTCACAATTTCAAATGACGGAAATGGAGGATTTCTGTCTTTTGTTTTTGAAATGAGTAAAATGATTAATACAATTGCAGCTGATTAATTTTCTCTTGAGTAATTGGCAAGTAACTGACAAATTGTTGCAGCTTTATTAGTTAATGTGAAGTCAGATCTGAAGATCCGAAGAGTCGTGTCTGCAGGATCTACCTCTTCCCACTGGTGGATGTAGCGGATGAGTCTGGAGAGGCGCAGCAGCCGCAGCAGACTGAGGATCTTCGTGAAGCGGACGATCCTCAGGGCTCGGGCCGTCTTGTAAAAGTCTGAGTCAATGCGCGTCTCCACGATGAGAAAGATGTAGTCCACGGGTATGGAGGAGATGAAGTCCACCACGAACCAGGTCTTCAGGTACTTGATCTTGATCTTCTGCGGGTCCAGGATGATCTCCGTGTTGTCCTCCTTCACGATACCTGTGCGGAAGTTGAGGACCAGGTCCATGAGGAAGAAGGTGTCCGAGACCACGTTGAAGACGATCCAGGGCGGCGTGTGTTCGTCCTTGAAGAAGGTGATGCCCACAGGGATGATGATGAGGTTTCCCACCATCAGCAGCAGCATGGTCAGATCCCAGTAAAACCTGAAACACACATAACTCATGTTGTAGATAACAGCGGGCCAGAGTCTTTTAGGTATTTAGATGAATCGTCAGGAACTACAAATGTATCTTTAACATGGTATCCATAACTGAGATGATTGTTTGATTTGAGGATACATACTGTAAGTGATTTTTTTAGAGGGGCTTTTTATTCCTTTATGAGTTATTAGGGCAACATTTGCTGGTTCCAATTTCTTAAACATGAAGATTTTCTTTGTCATATTTATATTAAACTTAATATTGTTGCTCTAACATTGGTCTCTGGGATTTTTCAAATTTGTTGTGTATTTTACCGACAACAAAATCAATCTGAGGTAAGAATCAATTATGGATAAAAAATGAAAATAATTGCAGTGCATTTAAGAGTACTTATTGTTATATTTTTGTTGAATATTGTTAATTTGTTTGCACGGTTTTATTTAGAAAGATTTAGAGAGACACAGGACAAACTTAAAAGAAAGTTTAACAATGGTTGCTGTTCAGTTTACACAGGAGACTTTAAGCCAGAGTGTTTGTGTCTACGTGCATACTGAATATATGCTTCATAATATTCAGATATATTCTGGACATGTAGGAACTTCAAAAATAAATGAATCCCTGTGCAATTTGCAGTCTCACACTGGAACTGCAAATCCAGTAAATCTGTGTTCAAAGGCTAATAAATCATTAAAACAAACAGATTGAGCATAAACATTACCAAAGCAAGACATTAATTTACTTTAGAAACTAATTATCTTCAAAAAGTGGGCTTCTGTTCACAGGGATGGAGAGGAAAATGGGTTATTGAAACTCATCTGAATTGCTTATGAGGAAATATAGATTTTTCACAACTAACTTAATCCTCAAGTATCAACAGCAGAGTGATAAACTCAATTTATAATTGCATTGAAAAGGCAATTTGAGTTTCAAAGTTGGCAAAACATTTTCATACAAATTCATAGTTTAATTAAAAAATCTGGCAAGTTGCAGCCAACAGCTAAATATAAAATGGTCATGTATCTGACCCAAAAGCTGTTTTTAATAACTGTTTACTATATTGACATTTTACATTGTCAGTGGGTTTTTTCCCCTGATTGTACAGACCTGTATGGATATCAGAATACCCAACAATCACAGGAAACACACAGCAATGAAGAGCTCTAACACATAACAACCAGCCAAGATGTATTCCCCAATGTCCATCTTCAGTGTGTATGAGATGAGAAAGTATGCATGCATGTGATTGCATGTCGGATCCATTTCAGAGACCTAATCAACCACTGATCGATCCAACAGGAGCCTGACACACCCGCAGGGCCAGCCGAATGCTGTGTGGGGGGGGCAGACCTGCGAGGGTGCATGCATTACACCACTAAGGTTACTTAAGTGACATGTGAGGCAGCATGCAGTAACCACAATGTATGAGCCAAACACTCAAGAGAAGGGAGAGTAAATGTAGAGGGAATGCTTTCAAAAGCGCTTATTTGACAAATGCCTCTATATTTTGTCATCAGGTATAGTTCAAACCTTCAGTCACTGATTGACCAAGATAGAAGTATTTTATTAAAAGTAGACATGATGTGATATGTCTTTGGATTTTGCAAGTAGGCAGCTAAACTGTTTTCCTTCCATTTGACATGTTCTGTGCTCAAATGATGGTCAAGGAAAGAGGCAATAACAGTGGGAATGTGACCCACGTAATTTACCTATGCTAGTTGCTCACACCCAACCTTCACAGGAGAACATCATGTAAATAGGGAACCAGTAAAGGACAGGGTGTCCATTCTAATCAGCTTTCTGTTGTTCCCTGCCAAACAAAGCATTTGCATTCCTCTCTTCATCTGCCTGTTTGTCTCTGCGCTGACACACTGGTCCTAATTGCACTTCCCCTCTCTCGCTAAATCCACCGTTCTCCTGGGAATCCATGTCATCTCCAGAAGTCAGCTCCCATCAGCCAGATGTTGAGTAGTTAGCATTACTGCTCTGCACTGTGCTGCAGAACCCTGGAACAGCTGGACCAAAGAAAAACTGGTCTACAGGGGACAGTGCATTACTGCCCCTGCAGACCATCCAGTTTGATCATCAGCTGACCATGCAAGCAGCATTCAGGGCCACACAGATCAGACAACTTGCTGGTGTAATCTGTTGCTACCATCAACATAAAGCTGACAGTGGTGGGGTCTCTGGACCTCTCCCGGTCCAGAAAGGAATCTTGTGCTATTTAGGTCAGAGTGCAACTGCGTTAAAAAGCATGACAGCACAAAGAGAGCGGAGTTACGAGCAAAGTGAACACAAAAAGGCTTAAAATTGTGAAAGGAGCTTAGATCAATCAGGACAGCTGAAAAAGGGATCACATTTGTACTAGAGATACTTATCTCTTGCTGCCAGAGCGCAGCTGAAGCACAACAGCCTGCATGCAGCTCAGTGGCTTAACACACACCTGTACTGTGGCTCAGGCCCACCAGCAATCATATTAAACATATTTACGAAACCGTGCCAGTTCAGTATGTCTGCTGCTGTAACCACGGCAGCTTTAATACAAAAACAGCAGTTATGTATGCTCTAACCAACACACACATATGTTTATAAAAGATATATAAAGGGGACACATACTATGCTGTGCTGAAGAACAGTGGTTGTGGAAACATATAGGATTTGAAGTGAGTGACAGTTTTAGAATTGGATTCAGCAGTTTCTCGTAAACCAAAAGACCCGGAAAATCGTTGAGATTTACACCTGTAAATTAGGATGGGATGTGCAGGATAAAGTGTACACTTGAAGAGCCGAGAGTGTGATCCAAACCCAGTATAAAGTAATGACACCTTGTACCTCATACACAGAGTTAACAGCTGGGAGTCCTGATTCCTCACAACATCATTTTCATTTCAATCTCTCAGTCCCTCTCTGTTTTCTCTGTTTTGTGGTGTGTCCCCTCCCTGACCACACCATCTCTGCTCCATTAGACTAATTGTACTGTAATAATCTCCACTGATGTGTGCTTCTAATATCTCCAATGGTCATGTTACCCTATTTTGATTACCCCTTTTCCAAGCCCCTGCTGCACTCTCTGTAATCCATTGCCCTGGCTGAATGATAAAAAAAAGTGTAATTCAGATGAGTGGAAAAAAACTGCTCTGACACACATCGGCACAACTGGCCGCTGAAAGTATGATGACAGTGAGCCTCAAGGTTAAATGTCGTGAAAATCCCTTGATGGCGGTGATGAACAGAATGCTGCTTTGCATGCATTGTGCAATGAAATGTAGAGCGTGCATGAATGCATGCAAACGTAGGTGGTAAATCAGGGAGTTACAGGTTGGCTTACACAGGGGAAAAAGGTGGATAAAAGGTTAGTTAGAATACAATATGATATATTCTTGTGTAAACAAAGCCATACACACAACACTTCTCTATGCCAAACAAAAAAGGGACTTAATATCTTATATGTATGATATAATTTGGCTGTCATTGTGCTTCTAAGAGGATTTTGAATGCCTGTCAATTCATCCAAGATGGATCAAATGGTTGCCTGTAGAAATTGCCTGTACAGTCTGAGTGTTATAAAGGATCATTTTCAGAAATGAAGCCATTTACCTTTTCAATGTGTAAGGATTACAGCGGCACATTCCGTTTTAATTCCTCTATTCTGCGCAGGCTCACACTCCTGATTATCATGTTATCATAACATCATCACAGTGATTAAAGAAAAAACACTTGGCACATGGGGGATTAGTGTGTCTATTAAGTTTACAGTGACTTTGACGGCATTTTAAATCAAGATTATGCTATTCTAATATGATGTTTACATTTGTATGCCAAACAACTGTGTGACAGGATCACTGTTGCACTTTTTTGTAAAGACACCACTGTTTTGAAAGAACAGAAGAAAGGTTTTCTGCACACACATTACCTAAAATCACTGTACGGGTGGATTATCCAGAAGCCAGCAGACTTCACTCGCTCCCTCTCGTGCTCCACGGCCCTCTCACTCCCCAACATCCGCAGGGAGAACTTGTTGACTCCTGGTTGGAGCATCGCCCCAAACTGCCGGTGCATGAAGCCGGCTTGGTACAGCCGGTCATCCTCAGGTATGATTTGATCGGTTCCTTCTAACTTGATGAAACTTGACTGGTCAAACGTTGATTCTTGCCCGGCCGTGACACTCAGACCTCCCGCTGCCCGCTGCTGGGCCCCGGGGCTCAGCTCACCGGGGAAACTCTCGCTGGCTCCAGGGATGAGTCGCCGCTGCTCCGCGGGATCTGACCCGGGATGATGCCGCCCGGTGATGGAGGAGATGCTGCCCCGGAATAAGCGACAGTCCCCGTTCAAGTTAGTCTTCACAGTAACGTCCCTTCCCAAGTCTTCGCTCCTGGCCTCCTCAATGCTCTTGCAACTGCTTGCAGGAGACGGGGAGGGCAAATGTTTTAGCCGAATACTTTTCCTCTTAGTGTCCTTGTCGCCGTTGTCTCCTTCGTCAATCACGAAGGGTTTTTGCCCAATGTTTTGCGGCAGGCTGTACAACCGTTTGCGCATGTTAGACTGAAATCTTTCCATTTTGAACAAGAAGAGGAGCTGTGATCAAGGATAGCCCGTGAAAACAGAGGAATGAATCATGAATCTCATTCACTTGGGGTGCCACTGGAGGCAAAACAGTGACGGCGCATCTGCAGGACAGGTTATATCTCATTTGACACTTGGGACGTGCCTCTCTCCCCCGGTTCAAACATTGAGATGCGTCAGCAATACCTTGCTCCCTTCAATCGGTTCGACGGTCATGCAAAAGCGGTGTACGGGAAATGCATGTAAATCCAGGTAACCCCACAGCGTGCAGATGAGCGCGCATCTGGATGCAGCATGCTGAGCGTCGGACGTGCCACAGTGCTGAGCTGCTCAATGACAAAGCATGATCTCCACCTCCCCAAAATATCTGAGCTCTCTGTCAGTGCAAGGTGGCGACACGCATGCACACATGCACGCAGCTAACACCGGCATCCAAACAGCGCTGACCCATGATCCATCAGCGCTTTCTAATAACGTGAATATCGATGGAGCTAATCTATCAGAATGGCACTGGTGCTCACCCCACCCAGCAAGGACAGCTGAGAGCAGGACTCGAGAATCCAGCCTGGGAGTTTAAAGCTTGTTCAATAGTTGAGAGAAAACCATGGGAGGTCAAAGGAATAAAGTCAAGTCTTTATGGTCAGAAATGTTTGTCTATGTTTGCCCTGCACACGGAATAAATCATTTCTGCCAGCCAAATGAATTGAGCCGTTTTAGATATATGCCTACCTGTAGGCTATAATGGATTAAATCATAATGGATTATAAGAGTTGTTTTCCGCTTTTGAGACACGTGGTCATGTAATAACCACTGTTAGAGAGCAGTGCTAGTGTTTTTGTCCTCATTCTTAAGGTGCATTTGCTGCAAAGGCTATGACTTTACATTAGAGGCGTCATAACAAAATGATGATATAAATACATTAAGAGGTAGGCTATGTAGCCTATAACAAAATGGTTTTAAAAGCAACAGCTCACAACTGCCAAACAAAAATTCTGAGTTGACATATATAGTTGTGTGGTTCGTTGGTCTAGGGGTATGATTCTCGCTTAGGGTGCGAGAGGTCCCGGGTTCAAATCCCGGACGAGCCCTACCGTTTAGTTAGAAGTTGTAATGTGTGTACAACGCAATGCGCTTAAGGCCGGAAACTATCCATACAATAAGTAAGTGGAGTGCCTTTGGACGACTAGTTATAATGGTGGAATTCCTTTCAACCTTGAGATTGAGGTGGTGTTTGGCTATAACTATGAAGCATTTACTCTTTACGCTGCAGTTTTACTCTCTGAAGAAGACATTTTAATCATACAAAAATGTATGAGATTTTCTGATTTGCTTTCTGAAAGCAAAGTCCAACATGGGAAATTAATCTGGTAGAAGGTTTTTGAAAGCACATTTATGAATATAGAAAGATAAAATAAAGATTACAATATTAAATGATATACTTTAATATAAGATTTCAAGACTCTGCTACTTTCCCATCACTTTTTTTCACATCAGTGGTTTCATAACATGTAAATGGAAGGAATGGATATTTCTTTATCAACAAAGTGCATGTTACTGTCTGCAGGCTGTACTGTTTTCTTCCTCTTCTTTCCAGTTATCATTCAACCAAACTCAAGTGTGCCTCGGCCTCAACACTGTAAGATTGCAGTCTCCTGATCTCAAACTTCCCATATTAGAAGTTCACACTTGATGCTGTATTAAGTAGACTGCATTCATCACCTTCCATAATGTTTGCAGGCACGATTATCACCACGTGAGGTCATCTCAATATCACATGGCTGATTTGCACAGCCAGTTTATGTAGCCTATACTGCTAACTAAAAGCAATGCAGTGAAACACAATTCCCACGTTCCGTTTTTGTTTAGTTTTGAAGAGGTGTTTTGAGTCATTTTGGAGGGTGTATTTTGTATTGCGTTTGAACCGAATCAGACTGGGCTCTGGTTTTAGACAGAGGGGGGAAAGAGGAGCTGCATCACAGGAGAAAAGACCTTCATGAAATTAAAGCATGGAGAGATGTCAGTAGAGGCACAAAATACAGAAATGAGCATAATAGGGCCCCTTTGACACACACATTCTCTAAATATTTACATACAATTCAAATGGGAAACAAACTGTATTGAGTCGCTGCACCTGGGTGGTGAACCAGTAGTCCTCACAATGTTGTGTAGCAGGTCGCAAAGATGTGATCCGTCAACATCAGATTATTAGCCTCCAGTGTACACTGAGATACATGTTGTGCCCAACACATTATGAACAGAGAGAAAAATGTGGGGGGACCCATATCATATAGAAAATGCAATTCAAAGCAGATTATTTTGTGTGTGCAATGTTTTATGATCTAAATCGTGTCTAGAGGGATGATTTTTGAAGTTTCTCAGAGAACGCAAGTAGTATAGCAAGTCTAAAAGAAAGGCTATGTGTGAATTAAAAAGAAAACAATAAACAAAGCCACCAAACTTTAAATCTACCAATGTTTAGGAACAAATCCGTAAGGCTTTTTTTTTTTTTTACCTAACATCTCTTTACTTGAATGATACGTCAACCCACACAGACATAACTACAAATCAGTTGTTGTCAAAGGTTTTGCTTCCGTGTTTTTTTTCATGGTTCAGAAATGCACACATGTCCTCTGTAGCTACTCTCATGTAGCCTACTCTGCAGATGTACAATTCTTTATATTACTGTCTGATCCCACTGACATAATAATCCAGGACGCGGTAAGATCCTGGGAATCAAGTCAAGACAATTAAAATACTTTTGAAACACATAACAATGTTTACTCTCCAGCTGGTAATAGAAAATCTGCAGAAAGCTTAACAATCAGCCCTGTGACCAACTGTGCTACCAGGAGGCAGCAGCCATGATCCACCAGCGCCCCCCTCTGCTGGGCTGCTGCACTTCACACTAAATGTGTTGAACATCATGCTCACAACAATTCATGACAAACACAGGAGAAAAAAACACTCAAGTTCTCATAATGTTAGGTAGGAATGACTTAAACTATAGTCAGATGCAAGTCATTTATTTCCAACCACACCTATGATTTTATTTAGGAGGGTACTAGACATTCTTTGACCAAAGTCTGTTTTCATCTTTTGATGCTGCCTAAAATACAACTGAAAAAGAAGAATAAACCGACATATGAAGTATGTATTGTTGACAGAATTGTAGTCTTTAACCATGTATTAGACAGGTTTGGGATTTTTGTGCAACAAGTGAGTATTTCTTAATAAATGTTTGTTTGTCCTTGTTTCTGATATTGATGACACATGATTGCTCAGTCATTTAAAACCCCACACGATGGTGCTGTTCTCAACATGCTTTAATATTTCTGCATCTCTATAGGACGGCCTGTGCGAATCATTACTACTTTTGCACTGAAAAATGTCCATTATATATACATTTAATGGATGATGAAGTATTTTGAATCTGAATCTAAATGTGTTTTTAGAAGAAAGAGATTCAACAGACACACTTTGTTTTTTGAGATATTTATTCTTAAAAATGAGTTGGGGACCTTGGGATTTTTCACGTGTCGGTGCTGACGCATGTTTCTTTCTCCGCCTCCTCCCACGTCAGCTGTAAAGTATTCATGCTGCTGTGCGGTTTGCCTTCAGCGCTCTAAGGTGATCCTACTAGTTTAAAGCTTTGTCACAGAGAAATCAAAAGCTGCAATGATTTTTCAATAGGTATTGATATGGATAATAATTGCATAGGATAATAGCCATGCTGTACAATACACATAATTATAAAACAATGTTAGGATGATTAGTACAGATTTCCTAAAGGTTGTTTATACAGTTTTTCATTATCCTCAACATTTAAGTGCATCATATCATATGAATAGTCTTTATATATTAAATGGTATTTTGATACATAGTTATAGTGATTTAATACATACAGTACAGTAAAGTAACTCTTAATAACATTTAGAGGGACATTGCAAAGCCCTTAAAATGCAATAGATATCTTCAGGTAAAACGGTATGCAGTGGAATGATAAAACTGTACACAACTGTCATACCAGAATATGGTGGCATTTTCTTTTACATTGTCAAGTTTTGTTTTCCTCTACAACACACAGTACAGATCATCTAAATGAAGCCACTCTCAGAGAAAAGAGCAAAAAAAAAAGCCATTTCTGTATCAAACAGAAGGTCAACATCTTGCATGCATTATTTTAGAAGTATTAAAAATGTAAAATTAGTGGATAGGAGGGGGAAACAAATCATAAACGTCAACAACTGCATGCAGCAACAATGGTTATATTGTTAATAATTCAATTTTCGCATCCTCACACAATAAAATCATAAGGCATGCCTCATTGAACTCTCCATACTTGTAATGGCAGATACATCTTATTAACAACTGGTATGGATACCCTTCTTGTTTACTTTCATATGGTCAATACATTTGTGAAATGAAACCTGCAAATAAAGAGAAAATAAAGCGATTAGCCCAGTCTGCCCATGGTTAACAAGAGCCTTCATTGATACAATCATACGGTGGATCATCTTGTAACTTGTGACCACAGGCTTGTAATACATATTAACCACTAGGCTTTTAATAATGTAATACTTACTCAGCAGACAGGCTGCTCAGTTTGTATTCCTCTGGCGGAGATTCTTGTCTTTGTGGTTGTTGGTCGAATTCGTTTTCCTGTAGGAGAAAGCAAACAAAAAAATCAGTCGGTGAAAACTCAGATCAAACGTGTTTACTAAAAACATTAAGGGAAATTAATGCACATTCAATTAATATAAATACAAAATGTCATCTTTTTGGGCTCTGCCAATTTATGATAGACAATTTGCATTGTTTATGGCTTCTCAGATGAAATACTTACAACTAATACTATACTAAAAATAAATTAATTGTACACACAATTATTCAGTTGTATGTCTTCTGTGGCTCTGAAGAGAGCTTTTTTTAGTGTGAGAAAGTAAATCGGTAAAATGACCCTTTAATCAATAATGAAAACAACACTCACAGCAGAGTACACTGTATGCTTGTCCTTACTCTAGTGCAGGGGGGTCAAACTCAAATACACAGTGGGCCAACAAAAAAAAAAATCGTTACTAGTCGAGGGCCGGACTGGTTCAATGTTTATTGTAAAACTTATTGAAATGAACTTATTGCACATATTAAACCTGGAACTAACAAAGCTTAAATTATTGCCTATAAAAACAACATTAAATATTAAATAATCAGCAGCATTCATTTCTTATGGCTCTATCTGCAGCTTTTCCTCAGTCATTTCTTATGATTACATTTTTCCACAGGCCAACAACAGCTTCAAAAAAACGATTTCCCTAAAAGAAAAAACCAAACATGCCCTGTTGTTGCAAGAAAAAAGTGCAAAAGGAAACATCCATTGAAACTCAGTTTGCTGCTGTGATGCTAGTTCAAGCAGATACTTGGCATCTCAACTTGGGTGCAAGTTCATAAATGTTTGGGGTTAGGCTCTGAGCTGAGGAAATCCTCAGGATTGAATGAAGGTGTGCGTGCAATATACCGGCGGGCCAGATCTAACAGTAATTAGAAATTATCCTGCGGGCCGAAATTAAATCCACCAAGGGCCTGATTTGGCCCCCGGGCCTTGAGTTTGACACATGTGCTCTAGTGTGTACTAAACAGCTAATGTCATGAACACAAACTATACTTTTCACTGAGTCTACCAGACCTATCTCAAGTTACAGATTTAAACAATTCATAACACTATTTTAATCCTTTAATAGTACCTCTTTACATTAACTATCCCCACTTATAAGAAAACATATATTAAATGGTTTAAAACACACTCTAATGTAGTTGTAAGCAGCCATAATGACATTTCTAAATGATTGTTAATCTAAAGTATTTCTAAAGAAACTCTATAAAGACTTATTACTGTGTTGTTTTTATTTTCATTATGTTAAATGCATACACCACCCCACTATGATTGTTTACAGGGGAGGAGTTAAGCTGTTTATTAATAAAGTATTTACTACCCATAACTGCTTACAACGGCATTGCATGTCTAAAATGTTCGCACACTGCTTCCGACTGAAAACAGGGGCCTTTTTTACTCTAGACTCTAGAGCATCATGCAGGGCTTTCCTAATGAGGATTATTCTCATGCTAATTTGTTCTTATCAACAGAAAACACATGTCCCTAACTGACTCGTTTTATTTTCCTGTGATTTATATATGTATAGGCAGCTTAGCAACCGTTTCATGATGCTCTAAGTTTTGCTGTGTACTGTAAAGGAAGTCTACTCTGGATGCATCATAATAGCTACAACAAAACACACATCAAGCTAAACAGATACATGTATTGAAGGTAAAATGTTTATACTCACACTGGACCTGCATGGTCATCATCTGAAGCAACAAGGGAAAATATGGAGAAATGAGAACCATCAAATAAAATAATCGCAAAGTAGTTACACACATTGATGAAGAGACATTTTTAGTTTTTTACAAAAACCATAAAGCATTAAAAACAGCAGCTGTGAATGACACACTCTAAGATGTTCATGTTTCAACTATAATGCATGTGCAGACTGTTATGGTCACTCACAAACAGACTGAATGCATTTAAATCCACAACACCACATTAAAACAATTATAACGTAAAAAGTAAAACAATACTGTTGCCATGCAGACAGGCAGAGCTCACAGAGAACAGATGTTCACTCAGAGAGATAAGTGAGGAGCATAGCCATTAATATCAGCCCTCTACTGAGGGCAATAAAGTCATGGAAGCTGCCTAAAACAGTATTCATATTTTGCCATTTCAGTGCTGCAGTTTGAAGCAAAACTTAAGTTACCACTTAAATAAAATCTTTAAAAATTAAGATTTGCACGGCACTCAATGTTGATGCTCAACAGAACGGTGAACTGTGCTGTGAGCTGGGAAAAGATGAGGCTGAATGCTTATTAGGGCTGCACGATATATCATGTCGTGACGATAATCGTGTTATGTGCGACGTGCGATTTAAAAAAAATAATGACGTAGGCAAATGAACTCAAACACGTCATGTTACAATTATTTTGCTGCTTGCTACAAAAGGAAAACTCGCGCGGCTCTCATGTCAGGGGTACTTGAGTAAGTGACATGCAGGCTCTGCATGCACAGCAAACACAGCAGGATAACCGAGCTAGCTCAGCTTGTTGCTCTGATAACTTAAGATCCAGAAGTCCGTGACTAAAATCCTTCATCCGGTTAAATATTGTTAAAGAAAATACCAATTGTATAGCATTAAAGTTCAAGAAAGGATGGTTTGCGGACCAAAAAAACTGTCTTTTCTTTAATTCCTGTATTTTTTCATATATCATGTGAACGATAAGAACATATCGCAATGTCAGTTTTTTCCAATACCGTACAGCCCTGATGCTTATTGATATTCATAAAGCATGCAAACTCTCACACTTACCACAAACAGGATTTAGGTTTTGCAATTTGGGGAGGATGGGAAATATTTAAACAATCTGTTAAAAAAAAGTCAACAGCCACAGCTTACCTGTATAAAATATGGAGTTAAGGATTTCAAGCAAGAATTCGCTTTGTGATTCACACGATCTCGTCTATTTTGTGCAGATTCTCAAGGTGATTAAAACATCATGTAATGATAAAATGTTCCTGCACAGCGCCACTGACTGACTGTTAAAGCTTTGAGCTGAACGGTGCATCTAATTAACGTCAACATTTTAATTTGAGACAAAAAGTCACCCAAATAACAATATTGCATTATTTATGATATAGTCGGACTATTATAAATGATGTACTCGGTACAATTAGAAGATTCCCCACTGGCATTGGTAGATTATATACCTAAATGAAGTGACTCGTGGTGAAGCTTGCAGCAGCTTGGGGACAGCCCAAGGTCCCTGGAAAGCCGTTAATAATTGAAACTGTCCGCAACACTGCAGTATCATATTTCTCATGAATATTAAATACATGAAATTGTCCTGACAAGGTGCGACCTCTTCTAACATTGTCTGCCTGTCGGGTCAGCCTCGGCAAACTAAATTATTGAATGCAGGCAGAGCACAGTGTCAGGTGAAGAAGTTGGAGTCCCTGGCAAAGGGATAACTTCAGCACCAGACACCAAAACACAGTATGCCTCCTTTCCTAGGCACGTCATTAGCGATGCATTAAGGCTTTGCAAAAAAAACTCACAGGAGAGAGATTGATGTCAACGATGGACATTATAACCAGTTATCCTCAGATATATTAAAAAAAGTGGAATTATAAAACACCTTAGCACCACCATGGGTGACTCACCGTCTTGTAAATCATCGGGCTTCTTGCGCTTCTCATAAACGACGATGATGACGATCAGGATGATGATCTCGGCCAAAACCCCCAGGAGAGGCCATAAGGGGGCCAGGTTGCTGCGGACCCTCAGCACGATCTTCTCGTCGCGGGTGCCCAGCATGTTGGTGGCGTTGCAGTGATACTCGCCCGGATCCAAGTTAATGTCCAGGTTGGCGATGTGGAGCTCGGTGTAGTTGTCTCTGCTGCTGATGGTGAAGCGCCCGCTTGAGTTGTCAATTTCCTGTCAAGAAGAAATAAATACTTAATAATGTTTAGAGTGTTTTTTTAATTGTATTCTTTTACATGCTTTTATATTCAAGTAAAGTCCAGGTTTTGAAACGATTTCACAACATTGAATTATATACTGTATTACAGCTCCATGTTATAAAAGTGCCACTTTCTTTAACTGGCTCCCAAATGTGACTTATTTTAACTATTTTTGTTTTATTTGTTAATGTAACTATTATTATCTTGTTATAATTGATAGTATTCTATTTCATTTAAATCTCGACTTTTTTGCCTTGATTTTATTTTATTTTATCCAATATAAAAAAGGCATCAACTTTTTATATATTTGTTAATATAAAAAAATGATGTACAATACATGATTTTCTATTTGATGTAATCTTCTTGGCATAAATAAATCACTTTGTGAATTGTGTATTGCCTGAATATTTACAGTAACTCCTAATAAGTACAGCTTTGCAAAGAATCCTTGAAACAAGCAGATATTAATGCATTTGTAGAAAATGTTAGCTTAAGCTAAAGTAGATTAGATAAGCAGGTTTAACATTTTAACCTCAGTGTCCCTTATGCTTGGGTTGCTAGCAGAGGATTTCTTCTAATGCAGGATTGTGTAGACACAGAAACACTAGAATGAAATGCTACAAAAAACAATTACATACAGTACCAACCAATCGCTACCCTTTGAACAATTACATAGTATCATTATGTGTTCCTTTCATCTAATGCATTACAGTACAACACTTCAATTATAAACTCAGTTAAATGACAGTGTCAAAATAAACTGAACATTATAACCTTCTTAAATGTGGTACTTCTATCGGACTGACATTGTAAACAGGTGTTTAGGAAGAGTTTATGTATACCACATACCCTGGGAAAGCCATTGTCGAATTTGCGCCAGTTCCAGATAGGATAAGGATATCCGGTAGACTTACAGTAGAGCACAGCGACCTGGCCCTCGTTCTTATTCTCACTACGCTTGTGGCCTATAATGTCAGGAGCAGCTAAAACAAGAATAGCAAAAGAAACATAGATTAATTGTTACAATACATTAAATAAATTCACATAAATGTTACAGTCTTACTGTGGGTGCAGGGATCCAGTCAATGGGTCACTTATTTAGGATTTCCTACTTCCTTTTTCAAAGTAGAGACTGAATACAGTAAGTTATTTTAATTGCCTCAGTTTTTTTTAAATACTCGTAACCTAAATAATGATTATGGAAAACTGCCAAATGTTTTATGCAATATTCAAGCAAGAGACAAAGCACTTCAGAGAGAGATAACACAAATTGTATTTGGCATTGGCAAAAAGCTGCACGAGGGAAGCTTTGCAGCAAACAGTATTGCTGCATTCCATTCAAGTGATCCATTGCAACATAATTGTATTCGGAGAAATCCTATTATTTGTCATCAGCCTGGCCTGTTCATCATTTTTCTGCCCACAGGAAAATAAATTCTCTGTAAAATAAAGGAAAACTAAAAAATCCAATTTGCCTCTATAACGATGCGTGTGACAGCAGAAAAGGCTGACCAGATTTTAACGTTGGGACATAATCCCTCACCATCGGACACACAAGACACCATCTGCTGCCACTGAGCCGGGCCCTGGTTAGATGGAGGTGTCAAGGGCGCCTGCTGCCCCGCGAGCAGCCAGCAGGGTCGTTTGAAATCACAGGTCCTCACATGACCGAGCTGCTGAGGCTCAAGGCCATCCGGGCCATTTTTAATGGTGACACCTCTAATGCTGGCCTTGAAACTGACAAAAACGCCTGCAGATCACAAATCAACACCTACATTTTACTTCTATGGTGGCGTTTGCTGGAGGAGCCGTCTCGAAGGTGTAGACACACATGTACACTCCTGCGGCGTCTCCTCTCGGCTTCTTCAGGCTGCAGATCAGAAACACAGCTCACATGAACCCTGCTTATCTGTTTAACACTCTGACACACAACAGTAGTATACCGTTTTCCCTTACAAATATTCAGTGTTCCTATTGGGGCTGCGTGTTTCTGCGATCTCCTCCCCGTTCTTCATCCAGTAGCTCTCCTGGTGGACGCTGTGAGCGCTGGTCAGGTTACACTGCAGCAGGTAAGAGTCACCTTCCACAGGAAGTGAGGTGTGATCAGAGGAGGCGATCGACGGCTCTGTAGGAAAGACAAGGGTCAGCTACGACAGAAGGGAAGCTTGATGGAACTCGTGGGTGAGGGTGTGTTGGAGGATATAAACAACAACGCAGAAAGACACACAGCTAAAGACACTTTACCCACACATTCACAACATAGCACAGGAATAGAGTTGTGAAGTAGGAGGAATTATTTCAGGCATACAGAGTTCCTTAAGCAGAGTTTAATGCATCCTTAGGTGACTGAGAAGTGGGAGCTCTTCCAAGGCCCACGGTTGAATCATCAGTACAAAGATGTCTGCATTTGAAAATGTATTTTCCTTGAGGTAAAAAAGGTAAGGTTCAAGTCTGTCTGCATATAAACGTAAGTAATGAAGCAAACTACAGCTCCCAAGGTGCATTTCTGTTCAAATAATCCCAAAACGAACTTAAATTATTGTTAAATATGCCACTAACCATAAGCAACAATAAGCAAGAAGTAAAGCGCTTCTTCTACAGTCTGCAGCTCTACCACAACATATTGACCTTTTATGAGTAGTACCCATGTTGGGGAACATGGTGAAGGTGAATTGAACTCTCTTATCTTAAATGAAGAGATTAAATACCTTTGAAGGAATACGATATCAATTACACAATGGCCAATAACATAAGTCCACACTAACATAAATTTGCATCTGATTGAAATTCAACTTGTGGAAAATAGTTGCTCAGATAACCTTTAAACTGTGTTGCATGCTGCTTAACGTGATGATCTACATTACGTTAAGCATGTTTGCACGTATAGGCCCCTGGTGAGTAATCACAACACTTGTATATACAATACAGCTTGGCATGGTTTTGATGTAAATGTTGTCTCCAACTAAACACAATACAGTTTCTAAGCTGTAAAACTACTGCCCAGATACATTGATCTAAAATGTTGCACATATTTTTACTAGAATTCTGCAATAAACTGATCATAGAATAAGTAAATCTGATAGGAATATAGGACCGGACATTCGGACAAATCAGATTGAGACTATTAAAATAATAGTCAGAAAAGGAAACGAGAAGATGAGAGCTATAGGGAGAGAAAAACGAAGAAGAGAGAAAATAGAGACGGAGGAGATGTGGCTGCAGGTTAAAGGATCTACTGTCACCGAGGGATGAGCACGATGTAAAACACTACTCCTCAGGTAAGAGCACATATAGACTAGTTGGTGGTGTCTGTAGGGGAGGATGGCACCTATGGAGGCAGCTAGAGGTCTGAGGGAGGCTATAGCGAGGGGTGGGAGCGGGGGTTTCCTCTACAGTGACCACTCACTCTGCAGCACCGTTATAGAGGCCTGCGCACGGATCCAGGTGGTGGCTGGATTTTGGTGCAGGTCATTACGGCGCGGGTCATTGCTGGCTCTGCACTCATAGGTCCCAACATCGTCCACCGTGAGACGCGAGACCCCCAACAAGCTCACGGCGTTGGAGCCGTAGGCCGTGTTGATGGAGACTCGCCGCTTACGGGCGCCGTCCCAAAGCTGCCTGAAGGAATCGGCCCGGTTGATCTCAGAGTACCACCACTGGATTTCGGGGGTGGGGTTTCCCACCACGTCACAGTACAGCTCAAAGGCGTCGCCCGTGAGCTTAGTCTCAGAAAAAGGTGATTTCACAAAGCCCGCTGGTGGTGGAGGGGCAGCATGGACAGAAAAAGGGGAACAGGTGGAGGATGGAGAGGCAAGAAAATAACAGGGTAAATTAAAGTGGAAGCAGAAAATAAATGAAAAAACTGAAAAAAAGATAATGTGAAATAATAAGAAAGACACTGATAGATTATTTTAAAATGGAAGAAAGGTTGATGAATAAAAAAGAAATATAAAATGTAGAAAATAATAGAGGTGCAGCTACCTAATCTTTCAAACAGTATCCCTATTCTTTGTTTGGTCATTAGAAAATGTCTATCACAATGTAGAGAGAGAGAGAGAGAGAGAGAGAGAGAGAGAGAGAGAGAGAGAGAGAGAGAGAGAGAGAGAGAGAGAGAGAGAGAGAGAGAGAGATTATTGTGCCTATTTCAAGGAAGATTTCATTTTATTCTGCTGGGACGTCTTTGTGAGGCTGCTCTCACTTGATTTGTCCAATTAATGCCATCATATTAATTTGTTCCAGACTCAAGCAGCGCTCACACCCGAAAGTCCTCCAAGTGACCTTGTCCTTTTTAGTAAATCTAGTCTGTTTAATCAAAACATAATTAAAGGGGATTTTCAATAATGGGACACAGACGGTGTCTGTCAGCCGGGCTGACTGTATACTGTTCATTTTACTGGATTGATATGATGTCTCGGTATTTGCACGGAAAGCATTAAAAGTGCAACAATTGATCATGGCTGCACAGATTGGAGGAGGAGGAGGAGGAGGCGGGGGGGGAGGGGGGGGGGGTGTAATCATAAGCATGGTCTATGGCACCGTGGAGAGCACATTGAGAGGAGATTTATAGAAACTGCGGCTCTGGGTCTCACGGGAGCGTGTGGGCGCATGGTGATAGACCCCCTCGGTTTCCATAGAAGCACTCTACGGCAACAAAGCAGGAAGAGGAAGAGACGGCGAACCAGACCAAGGACATCGCAAGACAGACAGACATGTTGTTTTTCCTCCAGCTGACATCATAACCCTGTTGTACAGCCCACGAGAGCAGCACAGTTGCTGTAGGCACAAATGGATACCGACAAACTATTATTTTTTTGGGGGGGAGGGGCTGAATAACAATGTATGTAAAGTAAAGATTCATCATGTAGCATGGATAGATTTGAATGAAAAAATGTATGTCTTAACAAAAGATATATTGTCAAGGCCAAATACATTCAAATGGAGCACAGTTATGCCACTATATCTATGTTATAGTAACGTTATCATGGCATCAGAGGTTTTTTGTTGACCATCTGAGAAAAGTAATATTCAAAGAGGACAACAGGTTGAATGGGTTATGCGAATTAGGCGAAGTTCAAATTAATCACATTTTCCTCTGTGTCCTTATTATTATCATTAGTTCAGAATAAATATATAAAATTACATTTTTGTTTTAAATCCAGATTTTTTTGTTTTGCTGACAATGACTGACGTACATTTTAAATGCTTTTTATACGATATTACGTTGGTTCCATGTTTTCTGGTCATTTTTTCCCAAAAAAGAATGGTGTTCAGGCTGGGCAAGTTATTAATGCATGACTCAATATTAATAAAAATGTATCCAAAATGGACTCGGCTGTTGGTTTATTACGTACTCCTAGCTAAAAATGAGTGCAGTCTAGCAATAAGTCCTACATTCACGAAGGTTTATAATGTTGAAATGAATTGCATTACAGTGATAGGTGTTTCGGTTTCTTAATTACACTGCCGTTATAGAAATACATGGGGTTGACAACATAAGAAAAGCACCTGAAGAGATTTAATAACACCACAAACTGCGGCATCAAAAATAAACATACAGTTGAATCAATAACTCTCCAACAGTTTCAAGATGTTCACCTTGTTATAGGGAGGATGTATTGCTTATTGTGTTACAATGCATTCATTTTTGATGGATATAGCTCATAAACTGGCTTCAAAGTGTTTATGTAAACAATAAAAATACAACAACAAACTATTTGAAAACTGAAAACTAACACCTCAGCTGTCAACACAGAACTGCTGAGGGACAGATCCTGCCACAGCTAGTGAGGATGTGTAAAAGTGCTGAGCCAGTAGTCGTGCACATGTATGAGTGACGTCACTCATGTCGAGTTGATGTTGGATTAGTTTTGGCACGAGGTTATGTGTATATATAAAATATGAGCGCTACTTTGTGTTTTTTTTCTAAATCCTTCATTTATCTTGCATTGACCACATATTCTTAACCCCTGAATGTTTTGCAACCAATTGATCATTTTAATTGTTAGTTATTTATATTTGTAACTATTATTTGTTCCAGACAAAATATATTTAGCTTTAGCTCTGCGGCTAATGATTATTCTTATTGCTACAGCTCTGACTGCCTTTAAAAAACAGTGCCAAAATTAAAAGTTATTAAAGTTATTTCTCTTTTCTTTTCATTATTCTCATGTTCAGTATTGCCAAATGTGTTCACATGGTCAGAACTTTGTTTCAAATTCATTTTCAATTGTTAACAAAACGTGTTAAGAACTTGTTAGTTTCATCTGATGCTCTTCTTGTGTCTAATGCTTAAGTGTGTTCATAGGTTTGTTTTAAAGGTGAACATTAAAGGTGAACATATGGAAATGTGTGCGTTTAGTCAATTCTGACATAAGAATAAATGTGTCTTTGCCTTGTTTTCTATAACAATCAATTCCCCAGAGTGACATACGTGACATCTTGAAATGTCTCATTTTGTGTGAAAGACAAAAATAATTCAGTTAACAAGAATAAAAAATTGGTAAAAACAGCAAAGAATTAAGATCTTGATAACTAACTGATGATCAACCAATTCTCAAAATAGTTTTCAATTAGTTTAATCAATTATTCGTATAATGGTAACAGCTCTTTATATGACGTTATTAAGTTTGTAGAATAAGGTTAATCTCATACAAGTTGTTTATAGTCACATACTGTATTTAGCCTTTCAGAAAGCTCTAGAGAGGAAACCATTGTATTATCATTTATAACCTCGTATGTACTTCTATCCAATCAGACTCTCATGTAACACCTGGACCAATCAAAATCAGCCTGTGAGCCACATCCTGCCAGCAAACAGCAATGAGTCAGATATTTTCTGTTTCTCCCGAAGAATTCATTAAAAAACAGTGTAATATGAAGTATTTCCGGACACTGTCCCAGTTCATGCATCAAGAAGTGTGCAACTCATATTTAGTAGCTAATTGAATGCTAAATGTGAGAACAGCATTGAGCCCTGATGGACAGAGACACCTTGGGATTAGAAAAGCAACAGAAAGCGATGGCTTACATATTCATTGTTTAAATGCTGGTCAATAATATTGTAGATATTGAAATGATTTAAACATGTTAATAAAATCATAAAAATGCAAATAAGAATTGAAAACAAAATCAGTCAATTAATCGATTAGTTCATAAATTATAAATAGGGTCTGCTGCGATTTTGTTAATCTATTCATTGTTTAAGTCATTTGTTCACTATTTTCTGACATTGTGATGACCAACACAATAAGTCAATTGGATCAATCATTTGGATTAATCAATAACCGATGTAATACATATGTGTAGCCCTACTGCAAAATACACAAATAGGACCTTTTACATTTCAGCCCAATGATACGTTATATTTTTCAGTGGATGAGCTGTATGTTTGTTATTTAAAAATGTACAAAAGACGATCATTTATTTTAGACACTCCACTCACAGTCCATCTTAAAACATTCTCTACTATACAGTGTGTCCAATCCGCTGACAAAACTACATTTTGGTAAACTGTACTAACAAAGGGCAAATCTGGGACTAATCATTACAATTTATTATCATTCTCTATGATTGAATTATATATGTGTTTAATGTTTGAATTGAAAAAAGGAGTTTGTCAGGATAACTGAACTCTGGCCTTTGTACTGATAAATGTCCTCAGTTTATAATATAAACCTAAAACTGAAATCAATGAATATTTTTTGGGATTATCAATCTATTAATTACTGGAGCAACAAAATCCTATGCTTGCATTGATCGCATGGTGAGCAATATGCATCAAATCCAATATGACAATATTTATTACCTCCAAAATGTATATATAACTCTAAAATATCACCACAATTGATAAATTGCTGGGCAATAACTAGTTATTGCCCAGCAATTTATCAATTGTGGTTAACTTTAACTGAGATCTACACTTCAAGCAGTTTTTGTTACTTCTGTATGATAAATTACAACAAGGAAATGGTTTGATACTAGTACAGCGTCCTTGGTAAAAGCTACTCTACTTCAGATGAAACACACATCCTTAGGGAACATCGGCAGGAATAGCTTCAGAAGCGATTAGCAGATACAAATGGCTTCTGTGATGAGGCTGGCTGCTGTACGCCTTAATATCTTGTCGAACCAGACTCACCTTATACTCTGATATATACTTATACGATTATTAATGCACTGTGTCATTTGCGGTATCATATTGCTTCTGTGGATTATATGAAAACAGGTGAAGAAGGTGAGAAAATATCACTTTCTAGCAGTCTGCCTCATAAAAACCCATTACATTTGAGCAGATCTTTATCCGCTGGTGTGCTGATCAAAGAAGAGATTAAATGAGTGGGTGTGTGCAGTATAGGAGGAGATGCATTCCTACATGGTCAACTCCAGGGAAGGCCGGAGCTGAATAAATTCTCACTCTCCTTCTCACACGATGCCGGCAAATCGACACTGTGCATAATTACAGTATCCACCTCCAAATACTCAGCTGAGACGGATTTACACTACCCTAAACTGTTTGCTGGTGGGGGGTGAGATTTATGACCAGGGAGGGGGCAATTTCTCAGCGAGTAGAATCGCTCAGAGAAATCAATGCCTTTCTGCAGTGCAGCACATCTCAGCAAAGAGTTAACAGATCCACTGTTGCAAGAGGACATTAAAGCCATGCTTCCCAGTGCAGCATCTTTGCTCTAAAAATAGAAGCATGCAGCAAAATGAACTGGTGCTATTTACAGCACTTCTGAAGTCCTGCAGCTAATTACATGCGTGTTATGCTCTGTTACAAGGAGCTGATGCAAGTGGTGCTCTCACCCTGTAGGAGAGTGATACACTGCTGGATAATGAATCCTAGCATACCTGAGCAGACCCATAGTGACAGCATGTTGAGTGTGTGTGTGTGTGTGTGTGTGTGTGTGTGTGTGTGTGTGTGTGTGTGTGTGTGTGTGTGTGTGTGTGTGTGTGTGTGTGTGTGTGTGTGTGTGTGTGTGTGTGTGTGTGTGTGTGTGTGTGTGTGTCTCTAAGGAGGCCATGACAGATTGTGAACTTCAGAGTGACACCATTTCCTTTTCCACCTTCTTAATGAGCAGAACTTGTCCTTGCAGGTTGAATGTATTCAGCTGCACACTTCAAAGGACATTTTAGGGACACGGGCCTGCGTATGGCCCACTTCAGCCCAACCAATACACATTGCATCCCATTAATGATTTATTGACCCTTTCATTACAAACGCCAAAGACCAAAACAACGTCGACTGATATTAGTTTCTTTCCCGTTGAGGGATTATGTAATTAACCTGACTGCTGCTGGTGGTGGTGAGATATCCATGATGGACAGTGTTCTTCAGAAAATCCTTCATTAAAAAGTGTCCCACTGCAGAAATGCATGCGAAATCCGTCCCTAAAAAACCCCCGCATTTTCTCGTTTTTCTTACCATTCTGAGAAGACACGGTCTGCAGCAGCAGGGCTCCGATAATCGCCAGCGAGAAGGACATGACTGCAGCTCTTCGTTTGCCAGGTATCATCTTCGGAGACAGGAGAAAATGCCGGTAGGCGCGCGCTAAAGGTGACCTGAGCAGAATATGAGGATGTGAGCTGGATTCACCGAGGCTCCACACACACTAAAGCTGGGTAATGGGAAGTGTTGCTAGGTAGACTAGCGGGAGACTACGGCACTGCTGCTAGCTACCTGTGCGGCTCTCTGCTGTGTGTCAGCCCGATGCAGGGAAGAAACCACCTTTTTTTACCCACCCGTCTCATCTGAAATCCCGCGAGATCTTGGAGGAATCTTATAAATTAGAGCAGAATTCAATTATATGATCATAATAGACAAGATGGACGCTTTTGTTTCTCAGGCAAGTTTTAAAAATACACAATATAAACCCAATCTTTAATGTTTTTTTTATGTTTCATGCAATGGTCAATTTGAGGGTTTGAATGTACGTTTTCATGCCCCATTTTACTTTAATTGTACTATTGGCTTGCATGGCTGATTTCCCAAAATATCCCAAACACATGGCCATTTTTATTTTGTTGTTGTTAAGTTATCATAAATTACCTCTTTAAATAGCCTACTTTGACTCGATGTCATCTAAATGAAACAATACTTTTTAACCTGACTTTATCCAATGTTCAGATTGTTATATAAATGTATGCAAATTAGCACAGTTAAATTAGATTGTTTTGATGTAAATTCAGTGGGAAAGTTTCATGGCGATATCTATTAGTTTAGTTAATATTCTACCTTTTTCACGTCAGTGGTTGAGTGTAGTGCTTAACAAATCGCTAAAGGCCTGAAACTGTGCCATGGGTCAAGAATACTCTCAGGCTGACTAAGCCCTGACCTCTATGGCACCAGGGACTTTAAGTAGACCTTTAATCCTATTTCTATTTGAACTAATGAAGGGTAGTGGCAACCTCATGTCTTCAACACACTGTGTAACTTTGTTGCCTTATCATACTTTACTGGTATATTGTCTCTTAAATTGCTCATACTAGTCTAATAGTTTATAGTATGAACAAAAGTCTATAGAGCATTGCTCACCTGCAATATAAATCCAACAATGATTGTAGGAACATAGTTGGATTAGGGGATCAGGTTCCATTCCTATTGCTGTGGTCTACGTTTTACAGTCAATAACATGTGTAAGCTCCAAAATAACATAGTTACACTATAGTTAGTGTGTTAGACTTTAACTTTAACCTCCATGTAGCCTCAATTTAGTATTTGTAAGCATGGATGCTTTTCAATGTCCAAATGCTTTTATCAGATTGTTGTCTTAAACTAATAGTTTTTTTTCCCTTGATACATTATCTCAAAGGGATTTGGATAATACCATAAGGTATAGAATCAGTTTGAGGACAGTTATGATGTGAAGTTAAAAAAGGTCACAGAAGTTAACTCCAACAATTGAAAAAGGGGTGCAAAGCTAATTGTCATGCATGCATTTATTGTATCATATATATAAAAAACATCTGTTAAGTTACAAATATTGAGTTGTCTTTAATAACTGAATTTTTTTTCTCCAATATCTTATTTTGTTCTCACCAGCAATTGACATCAATCAATCAATGTTTATTTATATAAACGGGGGTCCTTAGACATTTTTAAAATACTTAATTATCATATTCAGCTAATGTTTGGATTAATATCCACACCCGAAAGCCATATACAAATTATAAACGAAGTGACATTGAAGTTAGGCTGATAGTTGCACTTTATGTCAGTTATATTTTAAAAAGGCTTTATGAATATTTTTTCATACCACAACACTTGGTGATAACATTTATTGAGTCCGAAAACATATTTAATCAAAATGGGGTAGTAAAAGGTAGCACTCCAAATGCATTTTTAATCACTGCCGAACACTATCAAATGTATTTGTTTTATGAGACCATCATGATGTGCAATAAATCAGACCTGCAAACAATGACTGATCGCACTTGAATATTTGCTACAGCACACATTCAATCTTCATTCTAGGGTTTTGATATGTAAAATACTGCTCGTAGATTGGGGTTATGATCCTCACGTTGACAGACTTTTATTCATTTAAAATGTTTAAATAAATAAAAATTCTAATGTTTGGTTGGTTTTGACAAACAAACAAAATATTTTATTTTTGCATCATTCAGGTTTAATTTTTCTCCCAACAAAAATAATTCTCCATAGTAACCTTACAATTCCAATGCAGCTGAAAGCTACAAGTAAAACAACTGCCAACAAAGCAGCCATAACATCAATAGAGTTGTAAACAAACCAGGACATTTTGTACGAGTGTGTTTGCAGATGACGGGCTCCTTTATGCCTGATGACGTATTCTATCCAAAACACTGCCAGGTCGAGTGGTTTCACGGGCTGATCTCTATGCAGCCTTGACAGCCTCTGCATGTTCTCCCTGTAAGAGGGATCGTAAATAGTTGTCTTTAGAGCATCTGCAAAGTTGTGTCTGTCAAGCTCGGCGATATCCATAATCACAGCTCCCCCCTTTGCTCTGAGTCGGTTGAGGTTATCAGGCTGATCAAAGCTTAAGGGAAGTCCAACTACAGATACTCCATGGTAAATCGCCTCCTGAACGCTGTTAGTGCCTCCGTGGGTCACAAAGACTCTAGTTTTGGGATGTCCTAAAAGGTCATTCTGTGGCATCCAGTCGACCATTAATGTGTTGTTACCGAGATTAGCAGGCCTTTGTCCCATATACCGCCATATAACCTTTTGAGGCAGCTGGGCAAAGGCCGCAGCAATCTCCTCAGCGACATCTTGAGGAAGATTCGAGAGCAAAGTTCCTAAGGTCATCATAATGACCCCATGTTCTCCAGAGCTCTGGACAAAGTCCTCCAGGTCTACAGGGAGCGGTTTTGGGGGCTTGCACTGAAATCCAGCCATGTATACTACATTTGGCATTGTTGGACGTGGAAAATCAAAGACAAAATCATTCCTCATAAGCCATATGTCTGCATCCAGGAAAAATGTTGAGTAATCCACATCAGGGCCAAAATACTTCTCAACTAATGGTTTGTAATGAGGTTCTGTGACTTGTGACATGGTGTACATTCCAATAATATAACTTAGCATATTCTTAATTCTTTGAGGGAAGCTCATCTTATCTGTTAGCTCTGTTGCAGTGAAAGGAACGTAAGACAGAGGTGAAGGGGCAATAAGGAGATGTGCTTCTCCTTGAATGGTCCATCTGACGTTAAAAACAAGAGGAAGTTGAAGCCAACGCCCAAGCATTGTTCCTCCACCGATGCCGGGGTCTGTCAAAACCAAATCAAATTTGGTTTCCTTGAAGGACTGCATCAAGTTTTTATCCCCAAACATCTTATCAGCCATTTCACTCAACCCCTTATGAAGCTGAGAAAACTGATCCACAGACTGCCGCTCCATCCTAATACGATTCCAGGTTTTATACCATGAAGATGCATGCCTACCCTGAAACCGCATTTCAAGGTGTCGAACAAAAAAGGCTTCAAAGTGTTTTTGATTAAATCCACCAGTGCTGGGAACAGTGACACTGGTGTAGAGAGGAGAGTTTTCAGTGATGTACCAGCTATCGGACGCCCGAACCACAGTGACCTCGTGGCCTTTGGCATGCAGTTCCTCTATGAGTACTTTCATGTTTACCCAATGGCTTCCATCCAATGGGAACACCAGGATTTTACCCCCAGATGCACTGGATAGTTGAATGAACAGTAGAGCAAAAGTGAACAGAGACGAGTGAGGCAACATCCAATTGACGCGACGTCCCACTGAAACCTATAAAAGGGCACAAAAACCAGTCAATAGACATCTATACATCAATATAACATATTTTGTGTTGACATTCATACTAATATGAAAAGCAGAAGCAGAAAATAAGTAAATTACTAAAGTAGCCTACTAAAGTACTTCAGAAGCCTAAATTAATCAAGTACTATGGAACTTAAGTACAATTTCAAGGTCTGAAATTTGACTTTACACTTATTCTCTGTTACGTTTTAGAGGGAAATGTTTTCACTCTCAATTGTCTCAATTAAATACCAGTTTGAGGCATTAACACAAAATATATAAACACAAGTTGATAGCATGGTTGATAGCAGTAACTGTTTACCAGCAACTGTTTATCAGGTTCCATTCCTATTGCTGTGATCTAAGTTTTACAGTCAATAACATGTTTAAGCTCCAAAATAACATAGTTACACTATAGTTAGTGTGTTAGACTTGAACTTGAACCTCAATTTAGTATTTGTAAGCATGGATGCTTTTCAATGTCCAAATGCTTTTATCAGATGTTTGTCTTAAACTAATAGTTTTTTTTCCCCTTACATACATGAGATAAGATACATTATCTTATAGGGAAATGTTTTCACTCCCAATTGTCTCAATTAAATTACCAGTTTGAGGCATTAATACAAAATATTTTAAAACACAAGTTGATAGCAGTAACTGTTTACCAGCATGACCTTCTGTTCAACTTTACACATGCAGTACATTACTAGGACATGTACAGACCACATTTCCACGAAGCACACATTCCATGGCTGTTTTTACTGCATAAAAGAGATTTATTTTAACACTTACCGAAATCAACAGCAACAGTAAAGACAATCCAACTTCAAAATGTCAGTTCAACAGTATTAGTTGTTCAATAAGATGGTGACGGTAAGATTGGTGTGACTGCACGTCCAGTCTTTCAAAGTTATGACTGACTGGCATGTAGTCACATGCTATGTAACGGTGAGGTTGTATAAGAAGGTGTGTTTCTGCTGCCGATAATTGCCCTGTTGTTTAGTGTGCATAGAGTTGTGCAAGAACACAGGTTCAACATGTATCTGCTGTGCCATCTAGTGTCAAGTCATTGTATTTAACTTCAAATACTCATATTGTTTTTACCTGAACAGAGCAGACCATTTTTTCACAGATGCTGCCCCCATGTTCTTAAACAAAAAATGTGCTAGAAAGCATTCTGCCATTTAACCATATTTGAAGTTTGATTAATAAAGACATGTCACATATATACATGCCATGCATTGTTAAATATTCAATAATACACAATGATGGGAGTAAAGAAACACTGCGATATAAAGGTTGTTGATTATATAAGTTACTATTTAATTTTTTCATGGAAAACTTTATATATTTAGCATTATGCTTTCACATGATACTCTCATCTAGTGTTTACCAACTTTTTTGCCTCTATCGCCTTAAGACCAAGTTACTTTCTACCCCTAGTTACAGGTTGCATGCAGGTACATTCGGTGGCCAGATCAAGGAGAGATTTTTCCCTCCCGACTGTTTTATCCGAATACTTTTCAAAGACTTGAAGATGTACAATTATACATTAATCTAACTAAAAAATAAAGACTAGAAAGCACAAGCAAAATATTATTTAGTACTTTATTGTCATGTTAATCAATTCATGACCCTTCATATTTAATATGTTCAGGGTTACTAACCTTGGGGTAATGAACCCAAGGTTGAAAAACCACAATCTACTGTAAATAATTGACAAACAAACTGTACACTACTGCAGGAACGTTGGGTGCAGTCACCATTAGCCTTAAGGCCCCATCATTTTAGGATTATCATGTTTATAGAATCAGCATCTGCATAAAAAATAAAAGTAAATTGGGATTTTATTGATGATTTTTTTCATGTTTCCCCCTCCACCCTGAAGCTCTGTGCTGATCAGCTGTCACCAGTGTTTACAGACATCTTCAACACCTCGCTGGAGACATGCCACATTCCAGCATGCTTCAAAACCTCCACCATCATCCCGGTTCCCAAGAAAACAAGGATCACAGGATTAAATGACTACAGACGCCCTGACCTCTGTGGTTATGAAGTCCTTTGAGCGCCTTGTCCTGTCCCACATAAAATCCATCACAGACCCCCTCCTGGACCCCCTGCAGTTCGCCTACAGAGCCAACAGGTCTGTGGACAACGCTGTCAACATGGCCCTTCACTTTCTCCTCCAGCACCTGGACACAGCAGGAACCTATGTAGATTGTGAACATGTCGCTCCATTCAGGTGACTTCCCTAAGTGCTTGAAAACTGCAGTTATTAAGCCACTGCTAAAAAAAGAACACCCTCGATACACTGACAATCAGTAATTACAGGCCAATTTCAAATTTACCATTTTTAAGCAAAATAATTTAAAAGGTTGTCTACCTTCAACTTAACAGGTTTTTGACCTCCAATAACATTTTAGACACCTTCCAATCTGGTTTTAGGTCTCGTCATAGCACAGAGACGGTTTTATTAAAGATTTTAAATGACATTCATTGTAATACCGACTGTGGGAAATCCACAGTTTTAGTTCTATTAGACCTCAGTGCGGCGTTTGACACCGTAGATCACAACATTTTAATAGAAAGACTAGAGAAATGGGTGGGTCTGTCTGGCACTGTCCTAAAATGGTTTACATCCTATGTTGAAAACCGAGAGTATTTTGTTTCAATTGGTAGCTGTACATCGGACAGAACCAAAATGACTTGTGGAGTTCCCCAGGGGTCGATCCTCGGGCCCCTTCTATTCAATGTGTACATGCTGCCACTTGCTCAAATAATTAGAAATAACAACATTTCTTATCATAATTACGTGGATGACACCCAAATCTACATATCACTTTCCATAGATGAATACGGTCCTACTGATTTATTGATCACATGTCTAAAACAAATACATGACTGGATGTGCCGTAATTTCTTACAGCTCAACACAAAAAAAAACGAAGTAATTGTTTTTGGAACCAAAGAAGAAAGAATTAAAGTCTCTGCACACCTGGAATCACTATTACTCGAACCGAAAAGTCAAGCAAGAAACTTAGGTATAATTTTAGACTCTGACCTCAATTTTAACAGCCACATCAGGGCAATCAACAGATCAGCCTACTACCATCTAAAAAATATCTCGCTTATTAGACCTTATGTCCAAGCAAGACCTTGAAAAACTTGTCCATGCATTTGTTTTTAGCAAGCTTGACTACTGCAACAGCATCTTCACAGGCCTCACAAAAAAATCACTCCGTAAACTCCAACTAATTCAAAATGCTGCTGCCAGAATCTTAACCCGGACAAAGAAAACAGATCACATCACTCCAGTGCTGAGATCGCTGCATTGGCTTCCAGTTAGTGAGAGAATTGATTTTAAGATTTTAATGCACACATATAAAGCACTAAACGGGCTAGGACCCAAATATATCAAGGACCTCCTTCAGTGGTACGAACCCAGCAGACCCCTTAGGTCTTCAGGCGCAGGCCAGCTCACTGTTCCATTTGTGAGATCAAAGCGTGGGAAAGCAGCCTTCTGCATCTATGCTCCTATTGCATGGAACAAACTCCCAGAACATCTGAGAATGGCTAGCACTTTAGAATAATTTAAATCAGGTCTAAAAACATTTATTTTTAATGTGGCTTTTCAAATTTAAATTTTCAAATTTTCGAACTGTTAAACATGGTTTTCTTTATTTTAATTAATTATTTTGTGTGTTTTGTATTTCTTCTCAATGTATTGTGTTTTCTCTGTTTGATCCTGTAAAGCACTTTGAATTGCATTACTGTATGAATTGTGCTATACAAATAAATTGCCTTGCCTTGCCTTGCCTATGCCAGGATCCTGTTTGTGGACTTCAGCTCTGCCTTCAATACCATCATCCCGGCTCTGCTGCAGGACAAACTCTCCCATGCAGCTGCACGTGCCCGACTCCACCTGCAGGTGGATCACAGACTTCCTGTCTGACAGGAAGCAGCACGTGAGGCTGGGGAAACACGTCTCTGACCCCCGGACCATCAGCACCGGTTCCCCTCAAGGCTGCGTTCTTTCCCCTCTGCTCTTCTCCCCTCTGCTCTTCTCCCTGTACAGTACACCAACAGCTGCACCTCCAGTCACCAGTCTGTCAAGCTCCTGAAGTTCGCAGAGGACACCACCCTCATCGGACTCATCTCTGGTGGGGACGAGTCTGCCTACAGGTGGGAGATGGACCATCTGGTGACCTGGTGTAGGGACAACCACCTGGATCTCAACGCTCTCAAGACAGTGGAGATGGTTGTGGACTTCAGGAAGAACGCAGCCCCACCCGCCCCCATCACTCTGTGTGACTCCCCAGTAACTGCTGTGAAGTCTTTCCGCTTCCTGGGCACCATCATCGCCCAGGACCTCAAATGGGAGCAGAACATCTGCTCCCTCATCAAAAAAGCACAGCAGAGGATGTTCTTCCTGAGGCAGCTGAAGAAATTCAACCTGCCAAATACGACGATGGTGAACTTCTACACCTCCATCATGGAGTCCATCCTCACCTCCTCCATCACCATCTGGTACACTGCAACCACAGCCAAGGAAAAGGGCAGGCTGCAGCGTGTCATCCGCTCTGCAGAGAAGGTGATCGGCTGTAATCTGCCATCCCTCCACGACCTGCACGCCTCCAGAACCCTGAGGCGGGCAGGGAAGATAGTGGCCGACCCCTCCCACCCTGGACACAAACTGTTCAGCCCCCTCCCCTCTGGCAGGAGGCTGCGCTCCTTCAGGACCAAAACCTCTCGCCACCAGAACAGTTTCTTCCCCTCCGCTACCGGCCTCTTAAACAAGGCCCGGACCCCCCACTGACGCTTTATCTCAGCCACAACGTAGACTCTATATGCATTACATTAATGCACACAATGTTCAAATACTGCTTACTGCACATATTTCTTATTTCATATGTTATAATTCACTGCATTCTATTTAGCTGTAAATTACTGCTTTATTTTATTGCTATCTAACTATATTTGATTACAGTGTCCTTACAGATTTTTTGTTTTATATTAGATTTTTTGTTTTGTATTTTATGTATGCACCATGACATCGAGTCAAATTCCTCGTATATGTGAACCTACAGTACCTGGCAATAAACCCGTTTCTGATTGTGATGTAGGATAGGCAATTGACAAACAGTCGTTGGTTTGCTAACTTATTTTGTATATTTTATTGTGGATTCTTTAGATACTAAAGTGGACCTCTATTGAGAGAAAAGTACTATACAAATAAAAGGTATTGTTATTATCATTATTATTATTATAATTAGTTTAATTATAGTATTTGGACTCCTATGTTAGTGTCCCAGACTTGCTTTTTTTAAACTTCAATGCTTTTGTTTGCTTGTATAGCCTATTATATATATTGCATTTGTATTAAGTATAAAGTGAAAAGGTTTTTTTGGAGGCTCCTGCAGGTTATCAGCCAAATAAAATCATGTTATGTAATATAAACAAAATTACACTTTAAAACAATAAAACATAATATATTAAATGTTGTGCAGTGTCATAATTGTCAGAAACCGGTGTGCTATACAAATAGAGGTATTATTATTATCATTATTATTATTAGTAGTAGTATCTTTCTAGTTTTTGGGCTCCTTTGTTGCTAACCTTTTTTTATTAATGCCCAAGCTTTTGTTTGCTTGTATAGCCTATTATATATTTAATTTGTATTAAATATCATTTGAGAATGTTTGGATCTTGTGTTTCTAGGCTCCTGCTGGTCGTGAGCACTACTGCCAAATTAAATAATGTTATATAATATTTAAAAAAAGTACACCTTAAAACACAATATAATAAAGAGATAGAGTAAATGGAGGTCGTGCAGGGTCATAACTGCCAGAAACCGGTGACAGTGTGCACCATAGCCCTCACCCTCCAGCCCTTTGTTGTTGTTCTCACGCTAATGTGCGAGATCCGTAGAACTGACTCAACTGCGCGGTCACATTCCGCCCAGACTTCCCCCTCTGCCAGCGGCCTGGTGGTTTGAGATGAGTAGAAGATGTCGGTGTCGGGTCTGAAGGCCGAATTGAAGTTTTTGGAGTCCATTTTTGACCCAAACCACGAACGATTTAGAATAATAGACTGGAAACCCGATGAACTCAGTTGCCAATTCAACGTTACCGGAGAGAAGCTGCTGATCATCCACTGCAACATCACGGTGAGTCCAGGCCAAGATAACCAGCCACTACCGACTGAAACCAGGGAGCGATCCGTGTTTACTAACTACGATTCAAGTGTTTTAGTTTATTTATCCGCCAAGATTTTAGTCGTCCCGTTGGTAAAAGATAAACAGAACACAGCACCCAGTGTTTAATTCACTTTGAAAGAGTGAACCATCAACCATCGTATAGTAACGACGCTGCGGTAGCTTAATGCTAGCTGCTCACTGGAAGTAGTGCTAGCTTGTGTCGTTGATTCGTTAGCCAAATTAACTGCGTTACTGCTAGCAACTACGGCCGTTAACTTTATAACTACTGAACTGTATTTAGTTACATTTCACGGCATTTAGCTAAGTCTTACTTAGACTTTCACACATCGAATAAAGATTATTCTTATAGCCCAATATTACAAAAACACGTATATCTCAGTGGGCTTTACAGCTCAACAAACATGAATGACCGTGCTAAAAGATAAATACAATTACATGAAAATAATAAAAACACAAGATAAATGTCAAATACAAATAATACAAATGAACAGAGATAGAGTAGGAGCGAAAAGACAATAAAAACAATGACATGCGGGACAAAGATAGGGTAATCCTAAACCAATTTTAACCATATGTTCTTTTAAAAGGAAAGTTTGGACACTGTCCCAAAGCTTTAATCAATAAAAACATTTATTTAAAAATAAATATATGTATATATCAAAGGAAAGATTGTATATTTGGTTCTCAGGTGGTTCCTTGAGGATTTTATTTGAATTTAAAACAAATTATTCTGCTAACTCAAATGTAAAAGAAATGCAATGCTTACATTCTTTGAGTTTGATAGGCTTATCTACATGCGTCTGTGACGAAACATTCCCGAATTGGGATCAATAAGGCATATTTTATTTATCTGAATATCAATACCACTGATTGTAATGTTAATATATTTTATCTTAAATACAGGGGTTTAGTGAACTCCTTTTTCAGTAAATAGACGGATCCCTGTGGCGAATTTATAATAAAACTGACATTACTGTCTTTTATCAGGACACCAAATGATTTAGCAAAAGATTAAATGTCGATATGAAGGAGTCTGAATTATACTGTTACCAACTAAATGTGTGAGGTTGGCTGAAACTATATTTTGTCAACCTTAGATAACAAAATAGTTCTGGTATTTTTTATAAATGTTCAATACAAATTCCTTTATACATTATGAGCAATGTAAATAATCTGAAAATATACTAGGCGATATCACAAACATCTCACTCTTGTCATGGCACCTGTATTTGTATTTTTCCGGTGGTGCAGATCTCTTACGAACAGCACCCCGACCACATCCTCCTCTCACACGCACTTGCACTTTTGCTTGATTCTGGGTGACACAGGCATGGCTTGTTAAAAAAAAATTAATAGCCATGTCATGTCGAGACTCAAATTGATTCACCCTCTTTGTGTCGGCTCGATCTCAGAATCTCAAGAGTGCATTCAGCATCAAAATCTGAATCTAGAATATGCACATTTAACACATCTGATTAGCTGGATTATATGTGATCACCTGCTCTTTATTGGTAGGACACACCTGATGCATCTGTTATAAGAAGAGCATGAGATGGGAAACATGCAGGGATTTTAATACCTGGGAGTTGCATTGAAAACCACTGCCTTCGTTATTTGAACAGGTTGTATTGGGCAAGATTATTATGCGAGTGTCTCCTTTTGAATTTGGTTTACTAATTGCTAAATCTCCAGAGTTCGCTTAAGTGTTGAATAGCATTCACTTAAACATTCAAGCTCCGATATATCCTGACTGGCGATTTATAGACCCATACTCCTAATGCACAGTACTCTAAGGCTTGATTTGTCCAATGATATCTGTCTGTTAAAGCCAGGAATCTTTCCCATCTTTGGCATCATCCCATTATATTACATGATACACTCCCTGAGTCATGATACCCATCTGTTACTTAATATCAAGTCATCACCCTTGCTGTATAAATATGTGCAAATATACGGGTATATGGTCATTCAGAATGTGACAGGGTTGTTTCCTGGGCCATGACTTAAAAGTAATGTTACACTTTTCTAGGGCGGTATCCGAATATTCGTTCGTTGGAGTACTATTCGGGTTCCAATTTCGTTATTCGGTTTTTTTGGCAGCTGCACTGCGGCTGCCAAATAGAATTTATTGAAATCTCCAATATCAACGTAAGAGCTTGTGCCTCTTCGGGGGGTGCTAACACTTAACCATACACTTTATCGTTTACTTTCTCCATCTTTATATGTAGATATGACTTTTCTCCGTTAATCTCCGTCACGTTGTTTCCATAGCAAACAACAACTTCCTGTCAACAGCGCTAACTCTCCTTCAAAATAGGAAGCCAAGCCAAATTACACTGAAGACATACAACTGCAACGAAAGAAACACAATGCAATATCCTTTTCAATTTCAAAGAACACAAATTGGGTTAAATACATTAACAAATAACTATAAAACAACAATACTGTAGAATAACAAAATTAATGCTGTGAGTAAACCGAAATACACGTGTTGAAGCGGTTCGCTCCATTTAACATCCTCTTTAGAAACTTTGAATACAAAAAAAAGACATTTGGTGCAACCCTAACATACGTTGTAGCCATTATCATCCAAGCATGACCAGCTTCATTTTCATATCCTTCTGTTGCAGGAATCCTATCCCTCAACGGCACCAATATGGTTTGTTGACTCTGATGATCCCAGTCTGGCTGAAGTGTTGGAGCGATTAGAGGATGTGAGAAAAGGAAGCACATTGGTAAGATTGAGGATGTGGATCCAGCTTTACGTTTGTTTACTGCTATAACACTGCAACCTTTATAGTATTGTTCAATTGCAGAGTCTCTTCAATGATTGATATCTTATCTTGCTCATTGTTCTCGCAGCTCCTTCAGCAGTTGAAGCGCCTCATCTGTGATCTCTGTCGGCTGTACAACCTGCCACAGCATCCAGATGTAGAAATGCTCGACCAGCCTCTGCCTGCTGGCCCCATTACCCAAGAGCGAAAGGTAATCACGTAAAGCAAGATTTAAATTCAATGTCTCTTTGTTGCATTTGAAAACTCACTGCATGTCAACTCACAATGTTTTACCACATTGCAGCATGGGCCGTCAGATGAGGTGACCTCTGAAGAGGAAGAGGAGGAAGAAATGGGAGAGGTATCTATGTGTATTAATGACAACTTAGTACATTCATGGTATTATAGCTTACTTGTCCATTTCGTTCCATATTTCTGAATATAATTGATACACTTACAGCAGGACATTGACCTGGACCAAGACCTGGACCATTACGACATGAAGGAAGAGGAGCCAGTTGATGGAAAGAAGTCAGAAGATGACGGGATAGAAAAAGAAAATCTGGCCGTCTTGGAGAAGATCCGTAAAAACCAGAGACAGGATCACTTGAATGTAAGTTCTCATTCAGGTCATGTTTTTCTTTATTACGTTTTGGTGACTTTAACTGAGTAGAGGAGCTTTTTTCCCCTATAAATCATATTTTGGATGCTAACTTTTGGCAGCCACCTCCGAATCACTCATCACGAAGACACTGGAGTCTCCTGGAAAGTGTTTCATTCAATCTTAATCAAGTACTGAATCTAAATCCTTTCAAATACCTTACCAACCTTATTAGATATGGAAATGGGATAAGAAGAATAAAATATTGAATGTTGGTCAAATTCATGCTTTCTGTATCAAATGTTTTTATACGATGAGGTAAAACTTTCAATGAAACATTTGTTAGCGCTGGAGTTAAGCAAATCTCAATATTTTGTCAACCAGGAAGCTTTCGGAAAAATAAAATTGATTACCACTTCTCCTGGATAGTTTCACAGTATCATAGCCATAAAAAATACTTTTAAATTTGTTTTCTTAGTCCTTCTGTCAGTTTCACCATGTTTAGTTCAGCATTAGCGCTGCGTCCTAAATGCCGACTCATCGTTCCTCTCAGTGCTGACAGTTCAGTTGGGTCCCAACATCGTCCAACAATGCAGAGGACAAAAGATTCCTGCTTAAAATAGGAACAGTACACCACACTGTAGCAGGAGAGATTATCCTAAATTAAACTGAATTAAATTGCTGAATTTATTCAGATTTCAAAAAGGTAATATTGTAAAATATCCTAAAATAAGTTGTAAAAAACAGAACCTTGATCAATCTGTTCTCTCCAACTTTAGACCTATTTCTAAGCTTCCCTTCCTGTCTAAAGTCCTAGAGAAAGTGGT